ACAGACGGTTCCTTTGATAAAAAAGTGATTTCTAGTGTAAGTGATGATGATAATCCTAAGATACGCGTCAGTTTTCCTGTGATTGCAGTGGAAAAACCAGCCACGTTGGTTTTAAAGAACGTTGATCGTCGTTATGATGGAAAATACAAGTTTCAAGTTGCAGCAAACGTCCAAACTTCTTCTGAAGTTACAGTCTTCATCGCAGGCAAGTTCGTTTTATAGTGAATAATGTTTGTGATATACACCATGTTGGGTTATGTCAGCCCGGTGTCTAAATACCGAGACAGCTCCGAAACTATGTATATATATGCACTATCCTTGGATCCCTATTTGATTGTTTAATAGGTCTAAAATTGAATACATGGAATTTTAACTTTGCTCGTCTTAATATGTGTTTAGCTTTAATATGTTCTTATAGTACCCACATTACAAAATGTCTTACTCCATAAGAAATGCTTATACAGTAATTGGTGTGTATCAATAAATTTTAGAGAAGCCAAATGTGATATTAAATTGTTCCAGTCCCGTCGTTCCACTATTGAAAGGTGCTCACTTCACATGTCTGTGCAGAGGTGAAGGTGGAAATCCTTCTGCTAATGTGACTTGGTTTAAAAATGGTGAAAAATTTACTGATGTTGGAACAGAGATGCAAACCCTAAATCTTTCAAATGTTGGTAGAGAAGATAATGGAACTTACACGTGTCAAGCCACAAGCTACCCTCATAAAAATTATACAGATGAAGAATCCATCCAAGTAACAGTTTATTGTAAGTATACATGCATGCTTGATAGATACACATGGGTAAACTGTTAAACATTATATACAATCTCAAGTAATGCATGCTATATTTATTATTTGTAAGTTTGCAGCTAAACGACCGCGATTTTAAAACAGGCCGAATTTAGTTATGACTTTCTCTATTAAACATACTCTATTAAAATATCAACATGCTCTATTATACATGCTCTATGGTGATTTATTTTCTTCTTGTTACATCGACAAGTGGATTTTATAACGGCATTTTACAGATCGGTAATTTGAATTGAAAGTTGCCAGAGGCGTAGCTCGCGGGCGGGGGCTAGAAACCCAGCCACCCCTGGCGAAGTTTTGGGTCTCGCTGAGAAAAAAAAGTAAATCATAGTTATATTGTGAATAATGAAAAAAGTCTGTGATCTTGTCCATTGAAATTGTCCATCAACATTTCCACAAAATTCTGCACATAATATTTAGCACGAACCTTGTCTCAGATCACACTGACCTGGCCCCACCTAAATTCCCCCCACATTTCACATCAATTTCTCCTTTCACCATGCATTGCAAATTCATTTCCTTTTAGCAAAACCGAATGTGTCAATAAATTGTTCTTCTTCAATCACCGTAAAGGAAGGCGATCACGTTAGATGTAATTGTAAATGTAAAGATGGCATTCCTCCAGCAAATTGTACTTGGTATAAGAATAGCACCCGGATTGATGGGATTGGAAAAGAAATGAAGACATTAAACCTCACTGATGTTACTAAAGAAGACAGTGGAATTTACACATGTGTTGGGAAAAGTCACGTTATAGCACAGGATGAAAACTCAATCAAAGTAACAGTTTACTGTAAGTATATATTAATATGTTACTGCAAAATTGATTGTTTTATGACAAAAATTATTCAAGCGTTTTCTATGTATATTTAAAATTTTATGCAGTATCGGAAATTTAATTTCAAAGCAAATATATGGTCTTAAGCAAAAGTATTGGCGGACCAGCTAGGAATTTTAGTTTTTCATTTAATTTCAAAATGACAGGCTTGGATGTTTAATTACTTAAATTTGCGTTTTATGCAGTCAATAGCCTTTCTCACGATGACGAATATGCCACCATTTTTGGGGTACTTTTTAGCAAAACCGTGAGCGTATGACTTCGTAACGGCGACTATCTTTAATTTTAGGCAGGAGTTATTCTTCAAATGCATGGTCTGTTGATTCTAAAAAAAATGCTTTTCATTTTGTTATAATTTTTTAAACACATTTGAAAAAATTGAAAGTACCCCAAAAGAGTCATCGTGAGAAAGGCTAATTGGAATTGCCTATAATATATGATGGAATCAATTCATAGAATATTATTAATAAACTTGGGCAATACTGTTAATTTATTTTGAGAAAATAATATTCAGGATCGATTAGGGGGATATTTTGAATCCCTTGAAATTTTTAAAACCGAATAAATCGTGATTTTTTGGTATATAAGACCACCTTAAGAGTTTGTTCCTTATTCGGTATTATTTTATGCTGTGAATTCGTACGTTGAGTTGAAAACATTACTTTAGCGTAGAATCAAATATTTATATTGAAACAAAAGCTTGATTTCAAGCGAGGGGGTGTGGTACTTACGGAGGCCTGTAAGGAAAATTAATAAGCCTCGCGGCGCTTGTTTGAACAAGTATGGAGGCAACTTACACTGCATGAAGTATGTATAGTTTCATTTGCTATCTATACTATTCCTTTCATAAGTAGTCATTTAGAATACCTTTTTTCCTAGATAAACCTGTTGGTACAACCATTAAGTTCTCACCGTTTCCAGCTGTGATTAATCAATCCTTAACCGTAACATGTGTATCGTATGGGCTTCCTGATCCAAATATCATCATACTCCACAACGATACAAAAGTTGCAAGTGGCATGACGTATAACATATCTCGAGTAAACAGGACTCATGCAGGAACGTACAAGTGCGTTGCAAATAATTATTTGGGAAACGAGTCTTTTTCCATATTCCTACGGGTCAATGGTAAGATTATGTTTTATATTATGTTGTTATAGCGTATATTATACAACATGCATATAGTTTTACACTTTCTACACCACGAGCAGTTTTTATCTTAAATTAAAAACGAGGCAAAGCTGTGTGTTCAAATTTTACGTCTTAAATGTTGTCCAAATTGCACCGAATAGCTATAAGAAATTTTAAAAATTGACACTTTATCTGAACTGCGAAAATTAAAGATGTAGTTGAATGTTATGCATGTGTTTACCTCTATGCAACCTTCGAGATAATATAGATGAACGTACTTTAGTACCTTCTTGTTTAGGATTCAGTTATGGTTTTACTAAAGTTGTTCAATTATTGTCATTTTTATTTATATATTATATAGGAACAAAACGAACAACACCTCCGTTAGCAATCATATCATCATCGGCAATCAAGCCATCAGCAACAATATCAGTAATACCAAGCTCGAGCACTCAGTTATCAAACAGGGGAGGTAATAGCGAAAGACATGAATTTTTCACGTTTTCCATTTTCATACGCGGTAAACCTTTCTCTTGGAAAGTTTTAAAATGTACAGAACTGAGTACAGGCAGAATTGGAAATTTTTGACAAATTCAAAAATCTCACATTTTGAGACAAATCGTGGAATATTAGGGAGGTTAAGATCTACTTCCACTACCAGTACCGATACGAAAATACATGACGTATTACAGTTTGGCAGCGCGGGAATTTTAAAGCGTTAAGATTGTGACTTCCGTAAGAAGTAAATAAACATTGTGTTAAATACAATAGAACGGGACGGTATATGCTTACAGTCAATAGGGATGCAGTAATTTGTAGTAAAACGATAGCCTTTGCTTTTAGGTAATAAACAAGGTGGTGATGGTGGTGAGGATGGAGGTTCAGAATATTTAGGCACTGGTGAAATTGTGGGAATAGTTGTTGGTGGGCTGGCGCTCATAGCACTCATTTGTTGCTTGATTTTTTATTGTAAATATAAAGAAAGTAAGTAAGTTATTTCATTTGTTAACTCGTAAATTCTGTTAGGCCAGCAATTTCTTTACCATTTTGAGATATAATTTATATTAAAGAAGAATGGCTTTCAAAATGGAAATCCATCATTCCAGTGAAAGCAACTTGATTAAAACCGCGTGAAATTTATAGCTTGCTTTGCTTCCAAAATTTTTTTAAATTCTCTTTCATCCGTATAGGATAACACTGAAAATTAAACTATTTGGTTGAAAGATAATCTACTAATACAACTACTCATTATAGAATTAAAAATTTCTCCACAAACCAGCTAGTGAAGCTATCAATTGCCCCTTTTGTATTGGGCAAAATTTTTCAAAAGCAGGCCGACGTTTAGTAGCTATATTAACGATGTTTTGGTGGCGAAGTACACTTGCAGAATGTGAGTGCAAGTTGCAAAATGTTGAAAATGAATCCCAATGGCCATTAAGAAATATTTAAATCCCCGCACGTTTTATAAACAAATCCGACTTATTAATTCAACTATAAAATGCGTATAATTTTATCATAATATGGTCGGTACTTTATAAACATCAAACCCTCCAAGTTTTCTTTCGCCTCTTAAATTACTGTTATATTTTATAATGTTTTGTTCGTACGCGATCCTTGTAGCACGTTTATGCTGTATGTACAATTGTACCAGTCTTCAAAAGTAAAAATCCGTCTTCTTTTGTAATTTTTTTACGATTATCTTTTGTTATTTTAGGAGACAATAAAAGGTGGGTTATTTCTTATATTTTAATTTGAAATTTTAATGTATATAAGGTCTTTTTGTATCAATGTTCCTACACGAAACTTTAACGTTGGCGAACTGTGTTTTGAGATTCACGCGATTATGCTGCATGCACTACAAATTTGACAGTATCATATAACAGGAAACATCAACTTAATTTGAGTAAACTACAATCTTGGACAAAAATGATGTAACACCACACCCCCAAAATCAATGTTGTATGGAGATTTTACGTGGCAACATTGAATTTGGGGGGAGGGGATTGGTGTTACAACAACTTTTGTCCAAGATTGTAGCCACATCCATTTCCTTTCATCGATGAAGCAGTGTCGACCTAGAGTGGAAGTGTCAACCTAGAGTCGACCATACATTTACATGCTTTCAGTTATATAGATATTTTCTTGTTCCATACGGTTATTTTCACCATTGCACTCGTAAGTGTTCACTGTTTTCAAAATGTCTGTGTTGTGCAATTTTAGCGTGAATCCAAACGGCTCAAAAGTGATCACAAACCACTACGAACTGGAGGAAGATCAGTTGGAAGGAGGTGGAAACACATACGATACGGCAAAACCACCCGATAAGGGTGAAGGATCGCAGAACAATGCAGAACAGAAGCCGCCCGGAGACTCTCTCCCCCCCGTCTATGCCTCTGTGAATAAAGACAACAGACAAGGCAACACGGTATGTGAAGGTGGAAATTACAATCACGACTAGATGGCCACGTGCCTTCTGCCAGAATGCATAACCGAAAAAAATTATTCAAACTTTCACCCAATCATGTTATGTTATATCGGCACAGTCACACGGGGTCCTTTATGATAAACACGATAGACTGGATAATCTGCATGGGCGAGTTTAGTAACGATTGATAAGACCAGCCAAATATGACTGGCGGATTCTAAAACAGGGGTCATAAAGTTAGTTGTAAAGATTGATTAACCTATAATGCATAATTATCTGAGAGCTATGGTAAAACTATATAAAAGCTATGATCTGTAAAATCTATGGTCAAATAATCGTAGAAAAGTTGGATTGGCATGACCAAAATAAGTCCTTTTGAGCTTAATTGGCATAACTTCATAGATTTATAACTCATTATCTAAATAATATCATCACCATCCTAATTCTCGGACAATCAGTTTTCCTCTTTTCTCAAGAGCGTCCTATTTTTCAGTTGTATGCATCTCTGGACTCTGAGGCGCTGAAAAGACCATCACAGAAGAAACCAACGGAAAACCAACCTAAAAATGTACCAACTGAGTATGCCAGCATCGACTTCATGAAGACCGCGAAGACACCAAATGATGACAGTGTTTCAACCTAAATGTGGATAGCGAAGAGTAAGTAGGGATGTTGCGGGGTAAATTTAGTAGTCGCCATTTAGTCGTACCTGTCTTAGATATTTGTCTCGACAGTTTGCATTCCCTTATCACGTCTTTTTACGTGGGTTATCTGCAAAATTCAATATGAGCATTTTGATTTCGGACTAAGAGTAAGCTTTTCTAGCTGTACTTCATTAAATTATTTGATAGATTGTTACCTTGAGGATTGCAATCTGTCTTAACCACGATTCAAGTCGATTGATTTGAACTTTTATTTTGCAGGAAAGATGATTTGAGTGAGATGTTAAATACGAAATAGACCTTTAATGATTATAGTCTAGTTTGAAGTTATCGATTACCGATCACACTTTGAGTGCATGAACATAGATTGTGTAGTTTTTGATTAAATATTTTGTAGTTTTCCACGGTGGGGAGCCTCGCCGTTGTATGCACGTTCCTGTAGTGAGCATATATATATATATATAGAGTAGGTTGTAAGACAAAATATTCAAGGGTATAAAATATAAAATATAAAAAGGGTATATTAATGGGTATAAAATATACCCGTAGTTAAACTGCAGAAAATATAGAAATCATTTATAAGTAGAAAGTCTTACATTTCATACCTTGTGTGAAATTTTCAATAATGTTTTTGCAAAATTGGCCAAGCCAACAGCTTTCATTTTCATAGTCACAAGAGACACTAAAGTAAACGTTTTTAAATGCATGCAATCCTAAATGTTTCACAATAGACACTAAAATGCATGTCCTTAGAATGAAATTCCGCAGCAAATATCTTTTAATATATAAAATTTATCTGTTTAATAAGTCGTCCGTCGTTTAAAAACGGCGGGAAATAACGATAAGCATATCTTGTTTGGCACATTTTTAGTAGGGGGAAGAATGGTGCATGATAATTGTTAACTATAATGTTTGTAGACGCTTTCCCAAAATCTTGTCAATTAAAAAATTGGTTCAGAAAAAGGTTTGATTGATGACATTGATTCTCTAATGGTGAAATCAATGGTGTTATACCTGCATGCAATCTGATTGGCCTCATGCAGAGTTATTTCCAAATCCAAGATTATTCTGACCACAGAATATAAACACGCCTTGATGCTTGCAAATATGCCAGTAATATTGCTCAAAAGAGTTTGGTAAAGTTTTGACTGAAAATAATGAAAATGGTATTGTAATTATACATTTCCCTCGATATCACATAAGTATATAAACACACGCAGTAGTCTGCTTTCTTAAAGATCGTAGCATTTTGGTAACATGAAAAACAGAGTATATTTATGAATGTTTTTCTGTTAGGTTTATATATGTGTGTATATTTGTATATAATTTGTATTGAATAGCTATAGTTTTGGTATAAACGTATAATTAGATAGAGTCATAATGTCACGCCATAGGTTGTGATGTGTGTATACTTACTAACGTTTTTGCCTTTCCTTACTTCGACCAATTTATGTTCCCTGGTTCGCACGGGATCCTCCATGGTTCATACTTGTCCTATAATGACTGGCTAACATGCATCAACTGTAACAGTTTCTATGGTGGAGTAAAAATTTTCCATGAAAGCTAAAGCAGTGAGAGTTATTAAACATTATCAGCAACGTGCTGCTTGATATAATAGATACAGTTTGTGATTGCCGGCCCCTTGGTTTTTTGAAACACGGGATAAAGTCAATTTTTTATCATTGCTGAAAACTCTTGCTTGCGCCGTTGAAAGCATGTTCATTTTAACCAGATTTGAAAACATATGGCGGAAAATGTTAGTAAGTTATCGAATATATTTTAGATTAAAGAAATGCATGCAAGATATAATAATGTATAATTATAACGTAGAAATTAAGTGCATCATAATTTGCACAATATAGCTATACACTAGATATACTGTATATCACGTACAGAATATGTAAAATGTTATATATTGATTAATTGCATTGATTAAAAAACAAGACGCCTGTTCTGGCGTTAACTCCGGCGTGCCGTGCACGTGCCAGTCTTCGATATAAAGCTTCTAAACATAAACTACAGTTCATACTCATTTAGATGCCTTGCGAACCTAAATGTTCAATCGCGAAATTCAGAAGCACATCGTACTTAAAAAAGGACCATGCAAAATCTACATGTATTAAATATATTCTTACCCCAATTCAATCTAAACCTAATCGAACAGCATCAAAAAAACGGTTTATTTGTTCCTCTTGGAGGAATTGCCGTATCATGCAGTGGTATCATGCGAGCGAAATGGAATCGCGCATCGGAAAATTAGCCAAAACTGTGCACCACAACTCTTGGGAGACAAGACTGGGACGTAGATAAATCCGATCACATACACATTTCAAATACTAGTATATTTCGCGCCATTGCACACTTGCGACGACGAAAAATACCATATTCTTCAGTGACATTGATCAAAAATGCAATGTCAGCGTAACTATTGCCGTGGTCAAACGAGATCGAGCGTTTAAAAAAACGTCCCGCTTCAACCGGGATCGCGCTTGCTCAAAGCGGGATCCTGCCCTGGCGCGACGGGACAAAAATCATCCGCTTTCATATAAACACAGCACGAAAGATATTATACAAACATATATACAAGGCGAGATCCTGGTCATTGACATTGTCTCGTCCCGCCTCTCATATAAACAGGCAAGCCGCCTGCATGAACGAAAAATTTGACGTTTCGAGCAAGAAAATTAGTAGAAGGAGTCGACTAAACTATTTTTTTGTCAGACGTTACGTTTTTATAACAATATGCAAATACATGCAACTGAGCCGCTGAGTGGTTAGTTTGCCTCATCTTGCACACAGGAATTTGGGTATGCTTTAGCTTTTGACAGCCCGCTATCCCAAACGCAATTTACATACTGTGGCGGACATGCATAATGACAATGTCATTCACAATTTACTGAATTTTGCAGAATCAATTTATCCAGGGCGTAGTAACTACGCCCTGATTTATCTTATAGAGTTACCGCGTTACGATTACTATCAGATTTATGGTTAGACCAGTCAATTCCGTTGCTGTTTAAAGGTAGCATTCTACCAAAAAAAGTTTGAAAATCAGCCTATTTTGCTGGTTTCATTGAACAATCTGTCCAGCCAGCAGCTCGGAATTGTGTCCTTAATTTGTGGAACCATCAAGGAATTTCAAAACACTTATCGAGGAATTCTTCGGTAGTGACCAAATACTTGTTGGTATGTGTTTGCCAACCAGGGCCCAGTTGTTCAAAGCTAGGTTAGCGCTAACCCTGGGTTTAATTTTAACCCGGTGTTTTAGTTTAGGTGCTTCTGAACAACTGTTCGACTTAAAACTTTAGAAAATATAACATCTATTGGTCCAGAAAATATTTATAAAAAATATATTCAACTTTACAAACAAGCGATCAAAAAAATTCGTGTAAAAATTTGCTTTAACCCAGGGTTAAGCTAACCGGCTTTTGAACAACTGGCCCCAGGAAGTAAATCAAGGAACAAACTAATCAAACAAAACTTGAGCAATTCTAGAATCTGGACGAAGTAATATATTGTATAAAAGGTATGTTATTATTGTATACTCTGTATCTTACTAATCTGTATCTTAGTTATGCGATATGCACGTAAAATGTATTGGTTGAAAACAACTTAGACACGAGCAAACATTGTCTTTCCTAGTTAAAGTCACTAGCTGATACCTGCCTGCAATTATAATTGCGAGTTAAATCTTAAGACCATTTGTAAAATAGATCGTTGTCAACAAAGTATCATCAACATGCACCACGCTTGAAGGACAAAAACCGTCACAAATATATAGCTTTTTGAAGAAGGAACGCTGTAGAATTAATTGACTGGTTTACGGCGTGTGTTAAGTACGTTGCTTTCATATACAGACGATGTGATTGTATTGCATGCTGCATCTATATTCATAAGGTTTATAACAGACTCGAGTGTGTTAAATAGGCTAATATTTCCCTAAAGCTGTTTTGGTCAGAAAGTTTTTATTGGCAAAATATTTTTGAATATACAATATAAAATATTAGGCCTCTATATATAGAAGTGCGTTTATACCCCGATAACGAAACTCAATGTATCTATCTCTTATAGTAGGGTAAACCAATTAAAGTATTTGGGTAAAGTAATTCTTCTATATCAATAATTTTCTCCATGCAATGCAAATAATGCAAGAAACTTTTAACTATAGTATATATACTAGAGGTTTAAAGGCGATTTTCTACTTACAGCGAAATCGTTCGCTGGCAGTAGCGAAATATTTTCATATTTTCTTTTGAATTGAGAACCATCAAGTCGTACTAATTTATTTATATATGCTCTTAAAATTCAAAAGAAAAATGCAAATATTTCGCTAGCGAACGATTTTGCTGTAAGTAGAAATCCGCCTTAAATATAAAGGGTCTTAATTTCGAGTGGAATTATACACACTTCAAATTCAAGCCAGGAACAGTTGATGGATACACTTTATAGTAGACTCATTATAGTTGACTCATTTTTTATCAACTGTTCCTGGCTTGAATTTGAAGTGTGTATAATTCCACTCGAAATTAAGACCCTTTACTGAACCTCTAGAATTTACCTGCATCGAATGTAGTGCAAAAAATCATAACTGATTTACCCTCTATATTGTATATAGCTATACTATATATAGTATTGACTAATTCAGTCGATAAGGTTCTCGGTATATATATGCATGAGAAATCAAGTTATCTGTTTATATGCATGCACTATATTTATCAATTATTGGACGAGGTCGAGCAAAATATCGTGATTTGTCGGTGGCGAGCAGATCAATTATTTGCCGATGCCGAAGGCAGAGGCAAATAATTGATCTGCGAGCCACCGAAAAATCACGATATTTTGCGAGAACCGAGTTCAATAATTGTTTTATCATTCACCACTTAATTTTCAATTCATTCACCACTCAATTTTCAATTTTGAGTTCGTTTTATCGGACAGTTCGGCAAAGCGAGTCGCCATTGTTTATGAAATTGACATTAATGCGCATGCTCAGAGTATTATTTGCAGCTGAGTATTATTTGCACGCAGTTACCTGCAGGTAAATTAACCAATCAAAATTGAGAATACTATAAAGTGAATGATAAACTAAATTATTGGCATGTAAAAAGCTGGAACCTGGTTGCATGAACACCGATTTTATCCGTGCTGCGCCAGCTGAGGCTACGAGCCCAAGTGAAATCGGCGCAGGTCTGAAATTTTGTAATCAGTTTTGCAAGCGAGATACTTCTATATTGAAAAATAATAAAACGGTTAAGGCAATTATCCACTAGGATGAAGTTTTCGAACGAAATGAAAAAAATGTTCAATTAAAAGAAAATCAGGCAAAAATTTTCGTTCGAAACCGCGCCTTTACGCTGCGGTCATTATCAAACAAGTCTTTTACTTTCTGCAAGTTGCCGAGATCTCGCAGCTCCATTGACATGCGTTGACAGGGTTTGTGCATTTCACATATAAACACAACTTTTCTTGTTAGGGCGGGTAATCTTCTGTCTTGTCACCAACTTTTGAACCTGGTGTGTTAAAGCGAATTTCAATTAGGCGCAATTTGTTTAAACTATCATTCGTTCGAACTATCATTTCCTTGTCTCTTCTGTCTTTTAAATAATAAATTGTAAAATATTTATTACCCGTCCGTTTACTTCCTTGATAAGGTAGCTCAAGTACTATATATATAGACATACAAGTATTCTTTTGGGCTTCGTTGTATTAATGATATACTGTCCCTTAGTATATTAATGATAAGTAGCATGTCCCTTAGTTCAGTTTTCCCTCTTTTAAATATAAGTGTGTGACTTTTTTCTTTTTACATCATTATGTTTTCTTTCTTTGACTTGACTTGAAGCATTGCATGCTTTCATCCATTAAGCTGGCTGTGTTTGGTGTTTACTGGTTTCGCTGAGGTAATGAAATCTGCAAATGCTGACGCAGAGACAATACATATGTAAGAAAAGGCATTTTCTATACAATATTTGCATGCATGTGGATTAATGTGAATTATCTTTATTGTCGGTATACTTTCTTAGAATTTCAATTAAGTATTTCTGCATGGTCGTTTAGGGAACCAAACGTTTATAATAAGAAATCTGAGTCTGAGATCAAACCAAATGGTCGCAGAAGCGCAGCCGAAGGATCGATTTCTAGAGTGAGTTTCTAGAGCGGCTGATTTGTCTTTTTCAGTTTTCACTACGTCTTTATCTATAGTTTGTTGTTGATTTTATTACAATCATTCGTATTCAAAAAAGGTATTTTCGTGATAAGCTGCCAATTCAAGATTAACAAGTATAGTGAATCATAATTCCTGATCTTTTTGTTTTTCCAATTTATCTAGGATCAAAGTTCGTGATGACTTCGTTTGGTTTCCTGAATCTGTTTGGCCTCATTTGCCTGATATTTCCATGTCAAGGTTTGGAAAGGCGCCCAGCCTTTTTTATTTGTTGGATTGCGGAACGTGCATGGCCATGAGGTTGCTGGATTCAGAGTATAAGTGACAAGCCCGAATTATATCATTTCTCGACCAGAATTTAAGTTGATACGTGAGATAATTTTCGATTCTCCTTTTTTTTACTCAGTACAATTCGCCTTTACATCATCATCATGAAATTTATATCATATATGAAATTGATAGTTACTTGAATTAAAATGATGCGATGAAATGATCGAGATTAGCATCGCTTTTATTTGTGTCTAAATTATTCTCGAAGAAATTGCTATTTAAACAAGTACGATCGTACTACAGGGACCAGGAACTGCGTAACCGAGTTTAATTTCTGAACTGCATTGTATTTATAACAATGGAGAGGACAATGTATTTCTAATCGTTTCCGTTTACTTATAAAAAGGCTGAATATTAATGATATGTATATATTATTTGCTGCAAATATATCAAGAATTGCTTGTAACTTGCTTCAAAGGTCAAAAGTAAAAATTCGAACTCCGTCAATCGATGCGAAATTATGCTTAGAATAATTGTGCCAAGTTTCATTCCGATCAAACAAGTAATGAAAGAGCCTTAGGGTTTTTTTAAAGAGCGTCGCCCCCTAACAACAACAACAACAAGATTAGCAGCGGTTAGGGACCAGTTCCTGGTCCAACAATTCGCCTGTTAGTAATTTTATAATATGGTATTAATTATGCATTCGTCTCTGCGTCCGAATTTCGAGCACTCATTCACAAAAATGATTTAATTCCATGATGTTTATAGGAGTTATCTATCCCCCAACCAGTGGAAACAGCTTGACATTCCCACCAGGATCAACTGGAAAAATAGAGTGGTCATTTGACGACAACATATCTGATGTGTTTTCACGATCTTGGACTTTCACAAGTACAGACGGTTCCGTCAATAGAAAAGTGATTGCTACTGTAAGTGATGATGATAATCCTAAGATACGCGTCAGTTTTCCTGTGTTTGCAGTGGAAAAACCAGCCACGTTGGTTTTAAACATGCAACGTTGATCGTCGTTATGATGGAAAATACGAGTTTCATGTTTCAGCAAACGTTCAAACTTCTTCTGAAGTTACCGTCTTCATCGCAGGCAAGTTCTTTTTTAAAATCATGTGCATTTTTAGTTAAACTAACTTTGCCCTATGACTATAAATAAGAAAGGCATATAAAATTGGCACAGTACAACACTATAGTACGAATCACAATACACCGCCTCTTAATCTTAAATTTGTGTTCATTCTCAAATTGAATGACGTAATTAAAAGGCCTGTTGGTCTGTTACATATGTAAATTGTGCTGCGATATACCATCACTAGCCAATGGCAAATTAAACACCGGCGTTATAATGGCTTGTACGCTATTCTGACCAGTCGATGGCATATAAAACAGGGTGACACGTAAAGTTACGTCACTATTCTGTATAATCCTTTGAACATTTGTTTTAGAAGTCTTCAGTATAGCTACGGTACCAAGAAAGATGATGTTAACGTACATACACTGTTTGCTAAAATTGATTTTAAGAAGTAGTTTTTGATCATTTTATTTCAAAAAGAAGTACTTCCGGTGATTGATGTGTAGCAATAAATTTCAGAGAAACCAAATGTGACATTGAATTGTTCCAGTCCCGTTTCGCGATTAAAAGGTGAAAACTTCACATGTCTGTGCAGAGGTGAAGGTGGAAACCCTCCTGCTAATGTTACATGGTTTAAAAATGGTGAAAAATTTACCGATGTTGGAACAGAAATGCAAACCCTAAATCTGTTGAATGTTAGTAGAGAAAATAATGGAACTTACATGTGTGAAGCCACAAGCTACCCTCATAAGAATTATACACATGAAGAATCCATCCAAGTAACAGTTTATTGTAAGTATGCATATATACTTGAGAGGTACACAGATAGATCATAGATGCATGTTTGATAGATACATTTCAACATACTCTATTAAGATATCAACATACTCCATTACAGATAAAATTTACAAACTTTTCTTGCCTATTGATACTTTCAGCATTTTACAAAATTTCGCAACTAAACTCTGCATATAGTACTAATTAATTATATAGTATGCTCTTTCTAGCTGTGATGGTGATTTATATTCTTTGTGTTACCTGTGTCAAAAATTACCCTTAAAGATGATGTAAAGTCCGTTCTGCGCATATATGCCGCACATAACAATGTTTGTTTACGTTTGTTATATAATCTTTACTTGACGTATGTGTCGTTTTAATTTTCTTATTTTCTTCTCGTTCTCGCTCGACCGACTGTGATAAATTTGTATTTTATATTACATTTTGAAGAAAATATTATTATATTTTGAAAAAGATATAAAGCGAAGCTTATAAATAAACCGTTACTTAAAACTTTTTTAATTGTAATTGTAGGACAAGCGAGAAGGTAGCGTCTGTAGCGACGACAAATAGCCTCGCCATCTCGTGTCCTCATTCAACAAACAAATGAATTCTTAAAGCATTTCTTTCAGCAAAATATTGCTTTTTGCTAGCAGCCTTATCTTCATCACTCGCAATTCGAGCCTCTTCGCCTTGGGACATAGAATAAAATAATTGTGCTCCCGAATTGTCCGTTTGTAATACAACGGGCTAATATCGCATATCATTAACATTCCAAAAGTTGCTCCCCCACTGATGGAATGTGCTGCTGCGCGAAATATATGCCCAGAACGGACTTTACCTCATCTTTAAGCGCAAATCGCTCACTCGTAACGAGTCTCAGAATGTTTACCAAAAACCTTCTCTCGAGTCACACTGGTGGCCTGGCTCTGTATTTTCGTGTCCACATACATATGCAATGAAACTGTGTAAGAGTCAAATTGAACACCATGTTTAGCTAATAAGCTTAAATGTTTTCCCCAATTAACTTATACGCATACGAAAAATCATGAGGAAAAAAAATCTTTTTGATGCAGCATTCTTTGATTTCAATCTACTGGCGCGCCAAACATAAAATTATACTGAATATTGTGCCATATAATGGCTTAAATAATGTACATATGAAAATAGCTTGTGTAAATTCAATTGCTAATTGAGCTGTGTAGATATAAAAGCCAGGTGTGGTTTTAATAAAGTTGTTAAATGTAAGTGACTGTGGACTTCTGACATTCGACAATATAATCATGGTGATTATCATGGTGGTATCATTTTCTTTCAGCAAAACCGAATGTGTCAATAAATTGTTCTTCTTCAATCACCGTAAAAGAAGGCGATACAGTTACATGTAATTGTAAATGTGAAGGTGGCATTCCTCCAGCAAATTGTACTTGGTATAAGAATGGCACCCGGATTAATGGGATTGGAAAAGAAATGAAGACATTAAACCTGTATGGTGTTACTAAAGAAGACAGTGGAATTTACACATGTGTTGGCCAAAGTAACGTTATAGCACAGGATGAAAACTCATTCAAAGTAACAGTTTACTGTAAGTATATATTAATATGTTACAGATAAATTATTGTAAGGCCAGCCTAAAAGATATCAAAATTGTTGTTTATGACATAAAATGATTCAAGTGTTTATATCTATTCAGATTGCATTTAATTGCCTACAATTTAAAATATTCCAAATTGTTTGGTTCACTGCAGTATCTGAGATTTAATTTTTAAAGCAAAAGTTAGTTTTTCATTTAATTTCAAAATAAAAGGCTAGGATGTTTAATTGTTTAAATTTGCGTTTTATGCAGTCTATTGGATTTGCGTAATATATGATGGAATCAAATCATAAAATATCATTAATAAACTTGGGCAATAATAAGCGTTTACTTCAAACAGCTTAAGTGTGCCCATATGTATACAGGTTGTATCAGAAAAATGTGGACAATTTTGAAATATTTAGTAAACTATAAAGTTATCAAAACATCGCATAGAATCGTACAATACAATAGTGTCAGTTCAATGTAACACTAAAAACAAACAGGAAATTTAACCTTGGAAAACGGGAGAGGGGGTTGTGAACACCTCATTCTGATGACTTGTACAAGCATGAATAACTTGTTAAAAATGAATTAAAAAACTTAAACCTTCATTCCATAAAATCAAAACTCATTTTCAACAAGTTATTCATGCTTGCACAAGCCTTTCAAAATGAGATTTTTACAAACCCCTCTCCCGTTTTACGAGGTTAATTTTACTGTTTGTTTTTATTTGCACGATTCTTAATTTGCGATGTTTTAAGGTTTCGCCTCTTATTTTATAATCGTTCCAAAAGAATTCTCCGTAGTACCGAATTATACCACCAACGTCGATGTATATACATGGATGTCACAACAGTTTCCAATTACTCTTCAAATTCACTTGACATGCCAGTATATTTGTTCTGTTAAAGGTTTGTTCCCTATTCGGTATTATTATATGCCATAGAATTCGTACGTATAGTTGAGAACGTTACTTTAACGTAGAATCTGGCATTCAAATTGAGCTTCATTTCAAGTGGGGGGGGGGTGGAGTATTTTTAGAGGCCTGTAAGGAAAATTAATAAGCCTCGCGACGTTTGTTTCAACAAGTACGGAGGCAACTTACCCTGGGTCTATGTATAGTTTTCATAGCTATCTATACTATTCGTTTCATATGTATCCTAGATAAACCTGTTGGTACAACCATTAAGTTCTCATCGTTTCCAGCTGTGATTAATCAATTCTTAACCGTAACATGTTTATCGTATGGGCTTCCTGATCCAACTATCACCATACTTCACAACGATACAAAAGTTGCAAGTTGCATGACGTATTACATATTTCAAGTGAACTGGACTCATGCAGGAACGTACAAGTGCGTTGCAAAAAATTCTTTGGGAAACGATTCTTTTTCCATATTCCTGCGGGTCAATGGTAAGATTATATCTTATATCATTATAATTGTTAGCGTATATTTAAGATGTATCGACTGATCCGAGGGAAACATAATGTTTTGTGGAACCGAGACCAACGATAGTGGTCATAAAATCTTATATATGATTTTCCGACACATTTTTCAAAAAGTGGGAGTTCTCACAACATGCCTACCTCAAATGCAGTAATAATTTTTTTATAACAGGAGGTTCAAATTAATTGTTAAAACACGAGCGGAAGAATATTGATAAAAAATTTTAGAGCTATAATGAAGGCTTAATCGTTTTAAATTTGAGGAAGGACAAAATTTTAATTTATATTTCGCAAAGGTGCTTGGCTATTACTTTGAGTAAGTCAACATCTTCCTTTTGAATTTTTCCGTCCACAACTATTAATCCTTCAATTTTTTTGATGACGCTGACAAATTGGAACAAGAACCAGTATCAACAACGCAGCAAATAAAATCATCAAAAAATCCACCAACAGTATCGAGTACCGCAAGTATGAAGATGAATCCTGCAGTAACCACTTCTTGTACTCCTCTCTGTACCACTACGTGTACGCCTACCTGTACCTGTACGCCTCCGACAGACAATAATAGTTCAGGTACAGACTCATCCTAAAGACCGGTTCACACGCCGGGTCGGTTCTAGTGAAAGTGCAATTTTCTTCTTTTTGACAGATGCGAAAGAGTGAATAGTCCTGTGTATATACAACTCACTTAACATTCCCTCATTTACTAAGCATCCGTAACATGTCCATGCATTTAGCCATTAATTCTTCACAAGCCATTAATTCTTATGTATGATTGGATAAATGTAGCCGGAATGTTATTGTATTATCGATAGTATAATGTCGTGTGTTCCAATTTTTAGAAAAAAAACAAGAAGATTGCAATAGTGGAACTAAGTGGTACATCATTCTTGTGACTTTGATATCTGGAATTATCATCGGAATCATTTTTACTTACGTTGTCTTTCGTGTTCGTCGTGAAAATAGAAAATCTAAACTATCAAACCCTGGGCCTCAAACACCTCGCCTTGATAAAACTTACCAAGAACTGGATCTAAAAAAAATGAACAAAGAAGACAATTACCAATCACTGAGGGTAAATGCTGCGAGAAATGACGGTGCAAACGATGATGAGTCAAATTACACCGAGTTAAAAAAAGCAAGAGATGTCGAAAACAACTATCAAACTTTAACATGAACCTGAAGTTATTGACTTGACTTGCCTATTTGAAGAGCACGTGTCACCTGAAGGTGACACCCAGTCATTTGTTGACAACTCTTATAACATATTTGCCCATCACTGTTGATTGCAAAACCCTATATAAATGTGCACATGCACGACACGAGCTATTCAAGAATGCCCAGCCACGGTGTGGAAACTATATTACTGGTTTTATTTTTTTACTATTGCCTTTTGCGAGTGTAAGCAAGGTTGAACTACCTTCATTTTTCAGACTAAACTTTTAGTTCTTAATTTTGTCAGACCTGACGTTTTTATAACAAGATGCAAGTACACCGAATGCGAGTGGTTAGTTTGTCTCATCTCCCACACAGAAATTTGGGTATATGCTTTAGCTTCTGACAGCGCGCTAACCCAAACGCAATTTATATATTATGGCGGACATGCACAATGACATTCACAATTTACTGAATTTTGCAGAATCAATTTATCTTATAGAGTTACCGCGTTACGATTACTATCAGATTTATGGTTAGACCAGTCAATTCCGTTGCTGTTTTAAGGTAGCATTCTGCCAAAAAAGTTTGAAAATCAGCCTATTTTGCTGGTTTCATTTAGCAATCCCAGTCCAGCCAACAGCTCGGAATTGTGTCCTTAATTTGTGGAACCACCAAGGAATTTCAAAACACTTATCGAGGAATTCTTCGGTAGTGACCAAATACTTGTTGGTATGTTTGCCAACCAGGAAGTAAATCAAGGATCAAACTAATTAAACAAAACTTCAGCAATTCTAGAATCTAGACCAAGTAAATATGGTTGTATAAGAGGCATGTTATTATTGTATTCTGTATCTTAGTATTGCTTGGTATTGAAAGAGTATTTGGGCGATACGCACGTAAAATGCATGTATTGGTTGAAAACAACTTAGGGTGGATTTCCACTTGCAGCGAAATCGTTCGCCAGCGAAATATTTGCATGTTTTCTTTTGAATTTTAACAGCATAAATAAATTAGTTCGATTTGACTGTTCTCAATTCAAAAGAAAATATGCAAATATTTCGCTAGCGAACGATTTCGCTGTAAGTGGAAATCCGCCTTTAAACACGGACAAACATTGTCTTTCCTAGTTAAAGACTTAAAGTCACTAGCTGATACCTGCCTGCATGTTGCCGAAATCTCGCAGCTCCGTTGACAGGCGTTGACATGGCTTGTGCATTCCACATATAAACACAACTTTTGTAATTGTAATTGTAAAATTGTAAAAATTGTAAAATACATGGGCAGCTCGAAAACTGAATTGCGTATTTACAAGCTAATCTAAAATTGACAGACACTACAAACAATCTATATATAACTATTTAAAAATCTATATTTAAAAGTTCCCGTTAACTATTAAGATACCGATAAAAATTCGCCAAGTCTAACGACCATAGTTTATGGCGGAGGCCATGATAAAAGTATCTCTTAAACGGTTTGTTCTCCAATTGGATGAGCTCCTTCATGAATCGGGGGTAAAAGTTTATTCAGCTTGTTATGTTTATCATTCACAGTTTGGTAAAAAAAATCCCTACATATTTTTTCACCGTATGACATAATGGTGGGAATATTCGCTTCCAACAGGGCTTCATGATACGTTATTCCTGGGTTGATAATTGATAAGGCCCGTTTTTGTAAACGTTCCAATTCATTTAGGAGGTACTTCGGTAAAGCATAGAAGAATACTGGGATTGCATAAGTCAAAACAGATCGAATGCATGTAATGTAAAAGAGCACGAGATCTTTTCGAGATAGTTTAGCTCTTTTCAATTGCACAAGAAAGTATAGCCGTTTCGCTGCTTTCTTTATAACATTATTTATGTGAACATTCCACGATAGGTCGCTAGTTATTGTGACCCCCAGCACTTTTGTACTTCTAACGACTTCTAATTCTTTTCCGTATACATAAATCGGTTGAAAGTCTTGGTCTTGGTTTCTTGCAAAGCATATCCGTAATTCTTTGCATTTTTCATCATTTAATTTCAGTTTATTATTTGAAGATCATTGGGCGACGTTACCAGCTATGTTTTGTGAATAACTCGGAAACCCCCTTTCTACGATTTCTGAAGATGTTGTATCATCAACGTACTTCCACAAAAGGGCATTTAAATCGTTGTTAAGAACTAAATCATTTATTAGCAATAAAAATAACCACGGTCCCAACTTTGTTCCTTGTGGGACTCCGGAAGGAACTGAGCCCCATTCAGAAAGACAGTTATCAGCAAGTTTAGTTCGTTGAAAACGGTTGGACAAAAAATCAATTATCCAATTTACTACACAGTTAGGTAAGTCCAAATCACAAAGCTTCTCGACAAGTATTCGATGGTCTATTAAATCAAAAGCCTTTCGGTAGTCGAAAAGTATAGCCCTAACAGTGGCGCCATTTCCATCAGTTCCTTTTGTCCAAACATAAACCATATGGATGAGAGCGTGGATCGTTGAAGATTTGGGTACAGCTCCGTATTGGTTAGGGTCCAGAATCCTTAGAACTGCAGGTTTTAAATTATCTTGTACCACAAAATTTTAGGCAACCTTTGACAAACATGCTGTTAAAGATATAGGTCTCAAATGTTTGTTTAGATTTTCCACAGGTTTTACCTTGGGCAGTGGAATTACATTTGCAACCTTCCAAATAGATGGAAGTTTCAATTTTTAAAGGAAGAGTTGATGATTTTACTTACAGGAAACGCAAGGAGCATAGCATATTCTTTTAATAGCCAGTTCGGATCCGTTTTCTAGTTAGGGCGGGTAATATTCTGTCTTGCCACCAACTTTTGAACATGGTGTGTTAAAGAGAATTTCAATTAGGCGCAATTTGTTTAAACTATCATTCATTCGAACATTCGTTTCCTTAATCGTCTCTTCTGTCTTTTAAATAATAAATTGTAAAATACTTATTACCCATCCGTTTACTACCTTAAGATACTGTTCCTTAGTTTTTTTACTCTTGTAAATATAGACTTGACTTGACTTGACTTGATTTAGGGAACCAAACGTTCATAATAAGAAATCTGAAATAAAAAAATTTGTCTTTATCTATAGTTTGTTGTTGATTTTATTACAATCATTCGTTTTCACAAAAGGTATTTTCGTGATAAGCTGCCAATTCAAGAATAATTAACAAGTAAAGTGAATCATAATTCCTGATCTTTTTGTTTTTCCAATTTACCTAGGATCAAAGTTCGTGATGACTTTGTTTGGTTTTATGAATCTGTTCACGATATATAATGATCGGTAGTCAATGCTAGTAGAAGGGGTCGACTAAACTATTTTTTGTCAGACGTTTCATTTTATAAAAATATGCAAATACAACTTAGCCACTGAGTGGTTAGTTTGTCTCCTCTTGCACACAGGAATTTGGGTATGCTTTAGCTTCTGACAGCCCGCTATTCCAAACGCAATTTATATACTGTGGCGGACATGCACAATGACAATGACATTCACAATTTACTGAATTTTGCAGAATCAATTTATCCAGGGCGTAGTAACTACGCCCTGATTTATCTTATAGAGTTACCGCGTTACGAGTACTATCAGATTTATGGTTAGACCAGTCAATTCCGTTGCTGTTTAAAGGTAGCATTCTACCAAAAAAGTTTGAAAATCAGCCTATTTTGCTGGTTTCATTGAGCAATCTGTCCAGCCAACAGCTCGGAATTGTGTCCTTAATTTGTGGAACCACCAAGGAATTTCAAAACACTTATCGAGGAATTCTTCGGTAGTGACCAAATACTTGTTGTTATGTTTGCCAACCAGGAAGTAAATCAAGGAACAAACTAATCAAACAAAACTTGAGAAATTCTAGAATCTGGACGAAGTAATATATTGTATAAAAGGTATGTTATTATTGTATACTCTGTATCTTACTAATCTGTATCTTAGTTGTGCGATATGCACGTAAAATGTATTGGTTGAAAACAACTTAGACACGAGCAAACATTGTCTTTCCTAGTTAAAGTAACTAGCTGATACCTGCCTGCAACTATAATTGCGAGTTAAATCTTAAGACCATTTGTAAAATAGATCGTTGTCAACAAAGTATCATCAACATGCACCACGCTTGAAGGACAAAAACCGTCACAAATATATAACTTTTTGAAGAAGGAACGCTGTAGAATTAATTGACTGGTATATACGGCGTGTTAAGTACGTTGCTTTCATATACAGACGATGTGATTGTATTGCATGCTGCATCTATATTCATAAGATTTATAACAGACTCGAGTGTGTTAAATAGGCTAATATTTCCCTAAAGCTGTTTTGGTCAGAAAGTTTTTATTGGCAAAATATTTTTGAATATACAATATAAAATATTAGGCCTCTATATATAGAAGTGCGTTTATACCCCGATAACGAAACTCAATGTAGCTATCTCTTATAGTAGAGTAAACCAATTAAAGTATTTGGGTAATTAAAAGTAATTCTTCTATATCAATAATTTTCTCCATGCAATGCAAATAATGCAAGAAACTTTTAACTATAGTATATATACTAGAGGTTTAAAGGCGATTTTCTACTTACAGCGAAATCGTTCGCTGGCAGTAGCGAAATATTTTCATATTTTCTTTTGAATTGAGAACCATCAAGTCGTACTAATTTATTTATATATGCTCTTAAAATTCAAAAGAAAAATGCAAATATTTCGCTAGCGAACGATTTTGCTGTAAGTGGAAATCCGCCTTAAATATAAAGGGTCTTAATTTCGAGTGGAATTATACACACTTCAAATTCAAGCCAGGAACAGTTGATGGATACACTTTATAGTAGACTCATTATAGTTGACTCATTTTTTATCAACGGTTCCTGGCTTTGAATTTGAAGTGTGTATAATTCCACTCGAAATTAAGACCCTTTACTGAACCTCTAGAATTTACCTGCATCGAGTGTAGTGCAAAAAATCATAATTGATTTACCCTCTATATTGTATATAGCTATACTATATATAGTATTGACTAATTCAGTCGATAAGGTTCTCGGTATATATATGCATGAGAAATCAAGTTATCTGTTTATATGCATGCACTATATACTAAATTATTGGCATGTAAAAAGCTGGAACCTGGTTGCATGAACACCGATTTTATCCGTGCTGCGCCAGCTGAGGCTACGAGCCCAAGTGAAATCGGCGCAGGTCTGAAATTTTGTAATCAGTTTTGCAAGCGAGATACTTCTATATTGAAAAATAATAAAACGGTTAAGGCAATTATCCACTAGGATGAAGTTTTCGAACGAAATGAAAAAAATGTTCCATTAAAAGAAAATCAGGCAAAAATTTTCGTTCGAAACCGCCTTTACGCTGCGGTCATATCAAACAAGAATACATTCTGCAAGTTGCCGAGATCTCGCAGCTCCATTGACATGCGTTGACAGGGGTTGTGCATTCCACATATAAACACAACTTTTCTTGTTAGGACGGGTAATCTTCTGTCTTGTCACCAACTTTTGAACATGGTGTGTTAAAGCGAATTTCAATTAGGCGCAATTTGTTTAAACTATCATTCGTTCGAACTATCATTTCCTTGTCTCTTCTGTCTTTTAAATAATAAATTGTAAAATATTTATTACCCGTCCGTTTACTTCCTTGATAAGGTAGCTCAAGTATTATATATATATAGACATATAAGTATTCTTTTAGGCTTCGTTGTATTAATGATTATACTGTCCCTTAGTATATTAATGATAAGTAGCATGTCCCTTAGTTTTTTTCCTCTTGTAAATATAAATGTCTGACTTTTTTCTTTTTACATAATTATGTTTTCTTTCTTTGACTTGACTTGAAACATTGCATGCTTTCATCCGATAAGCCGGTAGCTGTGTTTAGTGTTTACTGGTTTCGCTGAGGTAATGAAATCTGCAAATGCTGACGCAGAGACAATAAATGTAAGAAAAGGCATTTACTGTACAATATATTTGCATGCATGTGGGTGAATATGAATTATTATTGTCAGTGTACTTTCTTAAAATTTCAATTAAGTATTTGTGCATGGTCGTTTAGGGAACCAAACGTTTATAATAAGAAATTTGAAATCAAACCAAATGGTCGCAGAAGCGCAGCCGTAGGATCGATTTCTAGAGTGAGTTTCTAGAGCGGCTGATTTGTCTTTTTCAGTTTTCACTACGTCTTTATCTATAGTTTGTTGTTGATTTTATTACAATCATTCGTATTCAAAAAAGGTATTTTCGTGATAAGCTGCCAATTCAAGATTAACAAGTATAGTGAATCATAATTCCTGATCTTTTTGTTTTTCCAATTTATCTAGGATCAAAGTTCGTGATGACTTCGTTTGGTTTCCTGAATCTGTTTGGCCTCATTTGCCTGATATTTCCATGTCAAGGTTTGGAAAGGCGCCCAGCCTTTTTTATTTGTTGGATTGCGGAACGTGCATGGCCATGAGGTTGCTGGATTCAGAGTATAAGTGACAAGCCCGAATTATATCATTTCTCGACCAGAATTTAAGTTGATACGTGAGATAATTTTCGATTCTCCTTTTTTTACTCAGTACAATTCGCCTTTACATCATCATCATGAAATTTATATCATATATGAAATTGATAGTTACTTGAATTAAAATGATGCGATGAAATGATCGAAATTAGCATCGCTTTTATTTGTGTCTAAATTATTCTCGAAGAAATTGCTATTTAAACAAGTACGATCGTACTACAGGGACCAGGAACTGCGTAACCGAGTTTAATTTCTGAACTGCATTGTATTTATAACAATGGAGAGGACAATGTATTTCTAATCGTTTCCGTTTACTTATAAAAAGGCTGAATATTAATGATATGTATATATTATTTGCTGCAAATATATCAAGAATTGCTTGTAACTTGCTTCAAAGGTCAAAAGTAAAAATTCGAACTCCGTCAATCGATGCGAAATTATGCTTAGAATAATTGTGCCAAGTTTCATTCCGATCAAACAAGTAATGAAAGAGCCTTAGGGTTTTTTTAAAGAGCGTCGCCCCCTAACAACAACAACAACAAGATTAGCAGCGGTTAGGGACCAGTTCCTGGTCCAACAATTCGCCTGTTAGTAATTTTATAATATGGTATTAATTATGCATTCGTCTCTGCGTCCGAATTTCGAGCACTCATTCACAAAAATGATTTAATTCCATGATGTTTATAGGAGTTATCTATCCCCCAACCAGTGGAAACAGCTTGACATTCCCACCAGGATCAACTGGAAAAATAGAGTGGTCATTTGACGACAACATATCTGATGTGTTTTCACGATCTTGGTTTCACAAGTACAGACGGTTCCGTCAATAGAAAAGTGATTGCTACTGTAAGTGATGATGATAATCCTAAGATACGCGTCAGTTTTCCTGTGTTTGCAGTGGAAAAACCAGCCACGTTGGTTTTAAACAACGTTGATCGTCGTTATGATGGAAAATACGAGTTTCATGTTTCAGCAAACGTTCAAACTTCTTCTGAAGTTACCGTCTTCATCGCAGGCAAGTTCTTTTTTAAAATCATGTGCATTTTTAGTTAAACTAACTTTGCCCTATGACTATAAATAAGAAAGGCATATAAAATTGGCACAGTACAACACTATAGTACGAATCACAATACACCGCCTCTTAATCTTAAATTTGTGTTCATTCTCAAATTGAATGACGTAATTAAAAGGCCTGTTGGTCTGTTACATATGTAAATTGTGCTGCGATATACCATCACTAGCCAATGGCAAATTAAACACCGGCGTTATAATGGCTTGTACGCTATTCTGACCAGTCGATGGCATATAAAACAGGGTGACACGTAAAGTTACGTCACTATTCTGTATAATCCTTTGAACATTTGTTTTAGAAGTCTTCAGTATAGCTACGGTACCAAGAAAGATGATGTTAACGTACATACACTGTTTGCTAAAATTGATTTTAAGAAGTAGTTTTTGATCATTTTATTTCAAAAAGAAGTACTTCCGGTGATTGATGTGTAGCAATAAATTTCAGAGAAACCAAATGTGACATTGAATTGTTCCAGTCCCGTTTCGCGATTAAAAGGTGAAAACTTCACATGTCTGTGCAGTGAAGGTGGAAACCCTCCTGCTAATGTTACATGGTTTAAAAATGGTGAAAAATTTACCGATGTTGGAACAGAAATGCAAACCCTAAATCTGTTGAATGTTAGTAGAGAAGATAATGGAACTTACATGTGTGAAGCCACAAGCTACCCTCATAAGAATTATACAGATAAAGAATCCATCCAAGTAACAGTTTATTGTAAGTATGCATATATACTTGAGAGGTACACAGATAGATCATAGATGCATGTTTGATAGATACATTTCAACATACTCTATTAAAATATCAACATACTCCATTACAGAGAGAATTTAATGTTTTTAGACAGGATTCACCTTCCAAACACAAAAACAAGTCTATGCATGGAGTCTTGCTTAAATAATGACATTTTAAAAATCTACCGCCCCAACCCCATATTTAACCTCAGGTCATACTTTCTTTTCAATTGTGGGATAAATCTGCAAGGTTTGGGTGTGGAATGTTGTAAATTATATAGTCATGGTACCTACTATTTACATGCATTATTTTATTCAATGTGACAAAAAATTACAAATTTACAAACTTTGCATGGTTACTGATACTTTCAGCATTTTACAAAATTTCGCAGCTAAACTCTGCTTAGTACTAATAATATAGTGTGCTCTTTCTTTGCTGTGGTGGTGATTTATATTCTTTTTGTTACCTGTGTCAAAAATTACCTTTAAGCGCAAATCGCCCTTAAGAGTCTCAGAATGTTTACCAAAAACCTTCTCTCGAGTCACACTGGTGGCCTGGGTCCCGGCTAGGCAATTAAACACCAAACTTCTTCCCCCCTCCCCCTCCCTCTGTATTTTTGTGTCAATTTCTCCTCACACTCTGCACTGCAAACACATGCATTCTAGCGGAGATTTCGGGAACGCTAACACCCAAAGTATGGAATGAAAGTGTATAAGAGTCAAATTAAACACCATGTTTAGCTATAAAATAACTTTAAATTTTTTGTCCCAACTTATACGCATACGAAAAATCATGATGAAAAAATCATTTTGATGCAGTGTTCTTTGCTTTCAATTTACTGGCGCGCCAAACAAAATTTAATCATGGTGACGAACACAAGGTATTGTTTCCTTTCAGCAAAACCGAATGTGTCAATAAATTGTTCTTCTCCAATCACCGTAAAGGAAGGCGATACAGTTACATGTAATTGTAAATGTGAAGATGGTATTCCTCCAGCAAATTGTACTTGGTATAAAAATAGCACCCGGATTGGTGGGATTGGAAAAGAAATGAAGACATTAAACCTCTATAATGTTACTAAAGAAGACAGTGGAATTTACACATGTGTTGGCAAAAGTCACGTTATAGCACAGGATGAAAACTCAATCAAAGTAACAGTTTACTGTAAGTATATATTAATATGTCACAGATAAAATATTGTAAGGCCAGCCTAAAAGATATCAAAATTGTTGTTTATGACATAAAATGATTCAAGTGTTTATATCTATTCAGATTGCATTTAATTGCCTACAATTTAGAATATTCCAAATTGTTTGGTTCACTGCAGTATCTGAGATTTAATTTTTAAAGCAAAAGTTAGTTTTTCATTTAATTTCAAAATAAAAGGCTAGGATGTTTTAATTACTTAAATTTGCGTTTTATGCAGTCAATTGGATTTGCCTATAATATATGATGGAATCAATTCATAAAATATTATTAATAAACTTAGGCAATAATAAGTGTTTACTTCTAAGAGCTTAAGTGTGCCCATATGTATACAGGTGGAATCTGAAAAATGTGGACAATTTTGAAATATTTATTAAACTATAAAGTTATCAAAACATCGCATAGCATCGTGCAATACGTTAGTGTCAGTTCAATGTAATACTAAAAACAAACAGGAAATTTAACCTTGGAAAACGGGAGAGGGGTTTGTGAAAACCTCATTTTGAATGGCTTGTACAAGCATGAATAACTTGTTAAAAATGAATTAAAAAACCTAAACCTTCATTCCATAAAATCAAAACTCATTTTCAACAAGTTATTCATGCTTGCACAAGCCTTTCAAAATGAGATTTTTACAAACCCCTCTCCCGTTTTTCGAGGTTAATTTTACTGTTTATTTTTATTTGCACGTTTCTATGCGATGTTTTAAGGTTTCGCCTCGTATTTTATAATCGTTCCAAAAGAATTCCCCGTAGTACCGAATTATACCACCAACGTCGATATATATACATGGATACATATATATACAACAAGCCGTTTAATAAGCCTCGCGACGTTTGTTTCAACAAGTACGGAGGCAACTTACCCTGGGTCTATGTATAGTTTTCATAGCTATCTATACTATTCGTTTCATATGTATCCTATAGATAAACCTGTTGGTACAACTATTAAGTTCTCATCGTTTCCAGCTGTGATTAATCAATTCTTAACCGTAACATGTTTATCGTATGGGCTTCCTGATCCAAATATCATCATACTCCACAACGATACAAAAGTTGAAAGTTGCATGATGACGTATAACATATTTCAAGTGAACTGGACTCATGCAGGAACGTACAAGTGCGTTGCAAAAAATCATTTGGGAAACGATTCTTTTTCCATATTCCTACGGGTCAATGGTAAGATTATATCTTATATCGCTATTGATCTGTCACTGTAAATAGGGCTATATAAGTATTAAATTATTATTATTATTATCATTATGTTGTTAGCGTATATTTAAAACTTATTGACTGATCCGAGGGAAACATATTGTTTTGTGGAGCTGAGACCACCGACAGTGGTCATAAAATCATAGAGATGGTTTTTTTTCTGAATTGGTTTAAAATTTCAAGTCATTACCATGCAGTGTTTTACTAGTTCTTGATGCTAGAAATGCATCTTGGTGAATGAGAATGCTGCCACCACGCCATGTTTTTATTTTGTGAAAGCCATTAATTCTTGTGTATGATTAGATATTAAAATGTAGTTAATGTTATTGTATTATCGATAGTATAATGTCGTGTGTTCCAATTTTTAGAAAATAAACAAGACGATCGCAATAGTGAAACTGAGTGGTACGTCATTCTTGCGCCTGTGATACTTGGAATTATCATCGGAATAATGATTTCCTACCTTGCCTTTCTTGCTCGTCGTGGATATAGAGAATATAAACTATCAAAACGTGGGCCTCAAACACCTCCGCCTTAATCAAACTTACCAAGAGCTGGATCTTAAAAACAAGTACGATCGTACTATAGTGGACCAGGAACTAAGTAACCGAGTTTAATTTCTGAACTGCATTGTATTTATAACAATGGAGAGGACAATGTATTTCTAATCGTTTGCGTTTACTTATATTCCTATTTCTATTAACTGTGCTTATATATAGGCTGAATATCAATGATATGTATATATTATTTGCTGCAAATATATCAAGAATTGCTTGTAACTTGCTTCAAAGGTCAAAAGTAAAAATTCGAACTCCGTCAATCGATGCGGAATATTGCTTAGAATAATTGTGCCAAGTTTCATTCCGATCAAACAAGTAATGCTAGAGCCTTAGAGGTTTTTTTAAGAGCGTCGCCCCCTAACAACAACAACAAGAAAATTAGCACCGGTTAGGGACCAGTTCCTGGTCCAAAAATGAACAAAGAAGACAATTACCAGTCACTGAGGGTAAATGCTGCGAGAAATGACGGTGTAAATGACGATGAGTCAAATTATACCGAGTTAAAAAAGCAAGAGATGTCGAAAACAACTATCAATCTTTAACATGAACCTAAAGTTGTTGACTTGACTTGCCTATTTGAAGAGCAAGTGTAACTTGAAGGTGACACCCAGTCATTTGTCGACAACTCTTAACATATGTGCCTACAATTACTGTTGATTGCAGAAACTTTGATTGAATTACTGTTGATTGCACGACACGAGCTATTCAAAAATCTGTATCACTCTCATACCTTGAGGAGCTTATAACCATCTTCAGTGTAACAATTTTGACCGATGCATGGGAAAACAACAGCCTAGCCACAGTGTGGAAACTATATCACTGTTTTTAATTTTTTTTTGTTATATCACTGTTTTTAATTTTTTTTGTTATTGCCAGTGTAGGCAAAGTTGAACTACCTTCATTTTTTTAGACTAAACTTTTTGTTCTTAATTTTGGCAGACGTTACGTTTTTATGACAAGATGCAAGTACACCGGAGTGGTTAGTTTGTCACACAGAAATTTCCGTATATGTTTTAGCTTCTGAAAGCGCTCTACGCAATTTATATATTATGGTGCACTTGCACAATGTCATTCACAATCTACTGAATTCTGCAGAATCAATTTATCTTATAGAGTTATATACAATACAATACAATACAATAAATTTTATTTAAGCACGATACAAATTAAAGCAAAGCTTGTGGGGTCGTGTGTTTACCTATTACATACAAAGACAAAAGAGACTCTATTATATACTATTATATACACATATCAATAATATCTGAAACAGTCATCTCGTATATAGAGTTACCGCGTTACGTTTACTATTTATGGTTAGACCAGTCAATTCCGTTGCTGTTTTATGGTAGCATTCTACCAAAAAAGTTTGAAAATCACCTTATTTTGCTGGTTTCATTGAGCAATCTATTCATCGAGCCAGCAGCTCGGAATTGTGTACTTTGTAGAACATACAAGGAATTTCAAAGCACTTATCGAGGAATTCTTCGGTAGTGACCAAATACTTGTTGGTATGTTTGCCAACCAGCAAGTAAATCAAGGATCAAACTAGTCAAACAAAACTTGAGCAATTCTAGAATCTAGACCAAGTAATATATTGTATAAGAGGTATGTTATTATTGTATTCTGTGTCTTAGTATTGCTTGGTATTGAAAGAGTATTTGTGCGATATCCACGTAAAATGTATTGGTTGAAAACAACTTAAACACGGGCAAACATTGTCTTTCCTATATAGTTTAACAATTCAATTCAGTCGCTAGCTGATACTTGCATGCAACTATAATTACTCCGGCGTCAGCGACGGAGTTGAAAATTCGCCCCGGTTTTGTTTTGTTTTTGTTTGTTTTTTTTTTTTTTATTTTTTGTCGTCGCAAGTCTGTAATGGCGCGAAATATACTAGTATTTAAAACGTGTATGTGACCGTATTTATCTACGTCCCAGTCTTATCTCCCAAGAGTTGTGGTGCACAGCTTTGGCTAATTTTCCAATGCGCGATTCGATTTCGCTCGCATGATACGGCAATTCCTCCAAGAGGAACAAATAAACCGTTCTTTTCATGCTGTTCGATTAAGTTTAGATTGAATTGGGGTAAGAATATATTTAATACATGTAGACCCGGTCCTATTTTAATAATATCGCTGCTATTTCGCCGTTTAACAAGATGATGTGGTCGTGTATGGGCGCGTTGACACGTCGCGTAGTTTGCACAGGATCGAAGATTTAATACAACTATATAAGCGCGAATTCCAAAGGCAAAGTGTAAGCGAATGTATCATGCGGTTTATTTAAATTTTTGAACAATTGAACTTCTATACTGCGATGTGCTTCTGAATTTCGCGATCGAACATTTAGGTTCGTAAGGCATCTAAATGCGAATATGTATGCGAAACAATACGCGAACTGTATTGTGTATGTTCAGAAGCTCTGTATTGAAGACTGGCACGTGCGCCGGAGTTAACGCCAGAACGGCGTCTTGTTGAGAGTTAAATCTTAAGACCACGGTAAAATAGATCGTTGTCAACAAAGTATCAACACCAATAATTTTCTCAACATCTCCATGCAAGAAACTTTGAACTATTTACAGTATTTAGCTATAGTATTCACTAATTCAGTGATATATTCAATAATATATATATTATTTTGTAGATGGTACTCGGGAAGGGAAGGATTTTAGGGGAAGGGAAGGACGTTTTTGCAAATGGGTGTATATATAGATATAATATTTTTTTAATAGGATATGACACCGGGTGGCAGCCTGCCATGGCAAGCAGAAAATTCTACTTGACCACGGCAGGATTTAAACCCACGGCCTTCGGTATACTACCGTGATCAAATAGAATTTTATGCTTGCCATGCATGGCAGGCTGCCACTCGGTGTCATATTACACAACATATGCAATTCTAATTAGACTTCGAGTATCTTTCTATCTATCTATCTGCGGCCAACGTTTTTGCAAATGGGTGTATATATTGTATAAGAAATATATATGAGAAATCAAGTTATCTGTTTATATGTACTATATACTAAATTATTGGCATGCATGTACCGATTTTATCCGTGTTGAGCCAGCTGATCCGAGGCTATATACGAGCCCAAGTAAAATCGGCGTAGGAGAAATTTGCAAGCGAGATACTTCCATATTAGAAAATAATGAAACGGTTAAGGCAATTATCCACTAGGATGAAGTTTTCGATCGAACGAAATCAAAGAAATGTGCAATTCGGGCAAAATTCTCCTTCGAAACAGTCTTTACGCTGCGGTCATATCAAGCAAGTATATACTTTCTGCAAGTTGCCGAGATCTCGTAGCTCCATTGACATGCGTTGACAGGGCTTGTGCATTCCACATATAAACACAACTTTTCTTGTTAGGGTGGGTAATCTTCTGTCTTGTCACCAACGTTAACTTTTGAACATGGTGTATTAAAGCGAATTTCAATCAGGCGCAATTTTTTTAAACTAACATTCTTTCGAACTATCATTTCCTTGTCTCTTCTGTATTTGAAATAATAAATTGTAAGATATTAATTACCCGTCCGTTTACTTCCTTGATAAGATAGCTCAAGTATTATATATATAGACAGACAAGTATTCTTTTGGGCTTCGTTGTGTTAATGGTATACTGTCCCTTAGTATATATTAATGATATACTGCATGTTCCTTATTTTTTCCCTCTTGTAAATATAAATGTGTAACTTTTTTTCTTTTTACATAATTATGTTCTTTTTACATAATTATGTTAATTATGTCAGCTGCCAATTCAAGAATAACAAGTATATATAGTGAATCATAACTCCTTTTTTTTCCAATTTACCTGGGGTGCAAAGCTCGTGATGATTTCGTTTTGTTTCATGAATCTGTTTGGCCTCATTTGCCTGATATTTCCATGTCAAGGTTTGGAAAGCGCTCCCAGCTTTTTTTTATTTGTTGGATTGCAGAACGTGCATGGTCATGATAATTTGTTTAGTGTCTAAAATTACTTTAACCACATCCATGTATTGAATATTGTACAATAAAATTCGACAGTATTATCTATAACTTCTCCAAATACCATATTCATGGTTTTATCCACGTACGTTTATAGTATATTTTGGAATATATAGCTTCTGCTCGAGGATTACAATAAGTATTAAACCTATATGAATAATGGCGCCTTGGCTTGGAAAGTATTCTGTCGTAATAATCGGGCCATGTCTTTGCTAGACTCAGAGTAGCCCGAAATATATGATTTCTCGATCAGAATTTATGTTGATCGGTGAGATAATTCTCCTTATTATTTTCTCAGTACAATTCGCCTTTTCATCATCATCATGAAATTTATATCATATATGAAATTGGTAGTTACTTTAAAATTTATTTGTGTCTAGATTTTTCTCGAAGAAATTGCTATTTAAACAATTCGACTGTTAATAATTATTTATGCACATGCATGGTATTAATTATATATGGCTATTTTATGCATGCATCCGTCGCCGCGTCCGAAATTTCGAGCACTCATTCACAAAAAAGGTTTAATTCCATGATATTTAGGAGTTGTCTTTCCGCCATCCATGCAGTGGAGGCAGCTTGACATTCCTACCAGGATCAACTGGGAAAATAGAGTGGTCATTTGACGACAACATATCTGATGTGTTTTCAAGATCTTGGGCTTTTACAAGTACAGACGGTTCATTCAAAGACAAAACGATTGCTACTGTAAGTGATGATGATAATCCTAAGATACGCGTCAGTTTTCCTGTGATTGCAGTGGAAAAACCAGCCACGTTGGTTTTAAAGAACGTTGATCATCGTTATGATGGAAAATACGAGTTTCGAGTTCAGTCATCTACCGAATCTTCTTCTGAAGTGACCGTCTTCATGGCAGGCAAATTCGTTTTTAAAAGTTCGTTTGTCAGCTCAACTAAGTTTGTCCTATGGCTGTATAAGAAAGGCATATAAAATTGGCCCATGCAATGCCACACTATAGTACAAGGGACAATACACCGTCTCTTAAACCTAAATTTGTATTCATAATTTGCAAATTGAATAAATGTAAATTGTGCTGCGATATATAAACAGGGGACACCTAAACTTGAGTCACTCTTCTGTATAATACTTTGAACATTTTTTTTAGAAGTTTTTAGTATAGCTTGTATTCCTTTTCTCTTTTATTTATTGCGAAACCATTACAGGACTGTTGCCATCAACCATGCTGCCATCATCGACCATAATGACATCAGAAATAACGTCACCATCACAAACAGTAACAAGCTCGGACATTTCTTCGACATCTTCACTAAAAGGTAACACGCCATGTCTTTATGCACATCAACAAACCAAATTACAGTGATTTTAATTCCCAATTTTTCAAAAATGTTTTTGTTCGGATAACTTAAACGTGCGTTCTTTGATGATGAATTTTAGAATTATTCGCTTATGATTCATAATGGCATAGTTGATGTTTTAATGACTTTTTTAAAATTTAATTAGTTTTTTTTTATTTATTGAGAAACTATAACTGCAGGACCGTCATCACCAAGCATGCTGCCATCATCGACCATAATGACATCAAGCTCGAGCATTTCTCCCACATCTTCAGTAAAAGGTAACACTGCAACATATGTCTTATTATGCACATCAACAAACCGAATCACAACGATTTTTATTGCCAATTCAAAAATGGACGTTTTTCTTGGAATAACGCGCTATGAAAGACGGAGTCAAGTTTTTGATTAGTATCAAAATCATTGGCTATTTATAGAAACAAAATCTCGCTTACAACTTAATTTCTTGAAGTAAGAAATATTTAGCACTCGGAATCACGGATTTTGATACAACTTAACGCATGAGAATTATTTTTCCTAACGTTGGAAAAATTATTCTTCAAATGAGTGAATTATTCCTCAAATGAGATATTTTGTCGAGCAACTTCCCCCCACCTCCCCTAAACTGATTAGCAATTTTTAGTAAATTTTGTCAGAATTTTGAAAACAATTAAATAAAGAGAAGTCAATCGGAAAACGTATTGCTATGAGTCTGCATCAAGGAATCAAAGGTAAAGGTTTTTGTTTTATAGCTTTCCATTGGCTGAATCAAGTGCTATACTTTTTTATTTTTTATTAAGCTTTGCCAATTATAAATATGTTGACATCAGACACAATACAAACACGCACAAGCACAAACTGACAAACACATCAAACAATGGCAACAGCTTACGCCAAATATAGCGAACCCTTTAAGGGTTACACGAAAATTACGTTTAAACAACACAAATGAATATCATTGACAACGAACTAAAAACAACACGATTTCGAACAGGAATATCCTACAGCCGCCGTTACGTTTATATATGCTGGAAACAATAGCTATATATTCCCCATGAGATAATAGTAATAATACTGCTGCAAACTATAATATTGTTGTGAAACATGCAATACATGCAAAATTAAGTTAAAGGAATATTGAATTTTTTTCATCATTATAGGGCCCTGTTTATCATGGGAGGCGGGACGGAATATTTTTTCATCCCGCGTTTACACGATTGTTTTTCAAAGGATGTTCTCTCGCGGGCATGCCCGGGACGGGTATTTCCCCCGGGAATACCATATTGTTCAGTGACATTGATCAAATAATGCAATGTCAGCGTAACTATTGCCGCGGTCAAGCGAAATCGAGCGTTTATACGACAAAAAACGTCCTGCTTCAACCGGGATCGCGCTTGCTCAAAGCGGGATTCTGCCCTGCATGGCGGGACGGGACAAAAATTATTCCGCTTTCATATAAACAACGCACGAAAGATATTATACAAACATATATACAAGGCGAGATCCTGGTCATTGACATTGTCTCGTCCCGCCTCTCATATAAACAGGCAAGCCGCCTGCATAAACGAAAAATTTTACGTTTCGAGCAAGAAAATTAGTAGAAGGGGTCGACTAAACTATTTTTTTTTCAGACGTTACGTTTTTATAACAATATGCAAATACAACTGAGCCACTGAGTGGTTAGTTTGTCTCCTCTTGCACACAGGAATTTGGGTATGCTTTAGCTTCTGACAGCCCGCTATCCCAAACGCAATTTATATATTGTGGCGGACATGCACAATGACAATGTCAATCACAATTTACTGAATTTTGCAGAATCAATTTATCTTATAGAGTTATATATAGAGTTACCGCGTTACGACTACTATCAGATTTATGGTTAGACCAGTCAATTCCGTTCCTATTTTAAGGTAGCATTCTTCCAAAAAAGTTTGAAAATCAGCCTATTTTGCTGGTTTCATTGAGCAATCTGTCCAGCCAACAGCTCGGAATTGTGTCCTTAATTTGTAAAACCATCAAGGAATTTCAAAACACTTATCGAGGAATTTTTCAGTAGTGACCAAAACTTGTTGGTATGTTTGCCAACCAGGAAGTAAATCAAGGAACAAACTAATCAAACAAAACTTGAGCAATTCTAGAATCTAGACCAAGTAATATATTGTATAAGAGGTATGTTATTATTGTATTCTGTATCTTAGTATTGCTTGGTATTGAAAGAGTATTTATGCGATATCCACGTAAAATGTATTGGTTGAAAACAACTTAGACACGGGCAGACATTGTCTTTCCTAGTTAAAGTCACTAGCTGATACCTGCCTGCAACTATAATTGAGAGTTAAATCTTAAGACCATTTGTAAAATAGATCGTTGTCAACAAAGTATCATCAACATGCACCACGCTTGAAGGACAAAAACCGTCACAAATATATAAATATAACTTTTTGAAGAATGAACGCTGTAGAATTAATAGCATGGTATATACGGCGTGTTATAAGTACGTTGCTTTTATATACAGACGATGTATTATTATGCTGTTGTGGTGTGTGAATAATTGCCTGCAGGCTGCATCTATATTCATAAGGTTTATAACACACTCGAGTGTGTTTAATAAGCTAATATTTCCCTAAAGCTGTTTTGGTCAGAAAGTTTCAATTGGCAAAATATTTTTGAATATACAATATAAAATATTTGGCCTCTATATATAGAAGTGTGTTTATAACCCGATAACGAAACTCAATGTAGCTGTCTCTTATAGTAGGGTAGACCAATTAAAGTATTTGGGTAAAGTAATTTTTCTATCAATAATTTTCTCCATGCAATGCAAATAATGCAAGAAACTTTTAACTACATAGTATATATACTAGAAATTTAAAGGCGATTTTCCACTTACAGCGAAATCGTTCGCTGGAAGTAGCGAAATATATATTTGCATACTTTCTTTTCAATTGAGAACCGTCAAGTCGTACTAATTTATTTATACATGCTGTTAAAATTCAAAAGAAAATATGCAAATATTTCGCTAGCGAACAATTTCGCTGTAAGTGGAAATCCGCCTTAAAGGGTCTTAATTTCGAGTGCAATTATACACATTTCAAATTCAAGCCAGGAACAGTTAATGAAAAATGAGTCAACTATAATGAGTCTACTATAAAGTGTATCCATCAACTGTTCCTGGCCTGAATTTGAAGTGTGTATGATTCCACTCGAAATTAAGACCCTTTACTGAACCTCTAGAATTTACCTGCATCGAATGTAGTGCAAAAAATCATAACTGATTTACCCTCTATATTGTATTAAGAACTTACTGACTGAGAGTGAGGTCTGTACGGTAAAATATCAAACCGAGGTCGTGCCGTATTGACCGAGCGATAGCGAGGTCAATACGGCACGACCGAGGTTTGATATTTTACAGTACAGACCGAACAATCGAAGTCAGTAAGTTATTTATTATATGACTTAATTTGGGAAAACCATAAACACGAATAATAATTCATTTCGAATTGCTGTTGTTTTTCCCGAGGGCAATAAAAATTGAGCGTATTGCCCGTGGGCAATATGGGAAAATCCCGCCTCGTCAGCAGCCAATCAAATTGCAGGATTTACAAAAACAAACACTAGTCATATAATAATAAGAACTTACTGACTGAGAGTGAGGTCTGTACGGTAAAATATCAAACCGAGGTCGTGCCGTATTGACCGAGCGATAGCGAGGTCAATACACCAAGACCGAGGTTTGATATTTTACCGTACAGACCGAACAGTCGAAGTTAGTAAGTTTTTTATTATATGGCATATTTCATGCAGACATTGTAATGATTAATTCTTTATGAGTAATTTTAATGACCAATCTCATCCGGGCACACGACACCAAAACATCAGCCTAAAGTAAAAAAAACCGCTCTATTTTGTAAAATATAAATTTATTATTTTTATTTCAAATTCATTATTTTCCGTTTAAGAATTTAATCTGTTTTTCAGTTTAAATTTAGTTAGTTTTTGCCGTGAGTTTTGCCTTGTTTTCACAGGGCAATAAGAATTGCGTATTGCCCGTGGGCAATACGGGGAAATCCGGACCTGTCAGCAGCCAATCAAATTTCAGAATTAACCAAAACAAGCGCTTGCCATATAATAAATAGCTATACTATATATATAGTATTGACTAATTTAGTCGATAAGGTTTTTGGTATATATATGCATGAGAAATCAAGTTATCTGTTTATTATATGCACTATATATACTAAATTATTGACATGCATGTAAAAAGCTGGAACTTGGATGCATGAACACCGATTTTATCCGTGCTGCGCCAGCTGAGGCTACGAGCCCAAGTGAAATCGGCGCAGGTCTGAAATTTTGTAATCAGTTTTGCAAGCGAGATACTTCTATATTAAAAATGATAAAACGGTTAAGGCAATTATCCACTAGGATAAAGTTTTCGAACGAAATAAAAAAATGTTCAGTTAAAAGAAAATCAGGCAAAAATTTTCGTTCGAAACCGCCTTTACGCTGCGGTCATATCAAACAAGAATACATTCTGCAAGTTGCCGAGATCTCGCAGCTCCATTGACATGCGTTGACAGGGGTTGTGCATTTCACATATAAACACAACTTTTCTTGTTAGGGCGGGTAATCTTCTGTCTTGTCACCAACTTTTGAACATGGTGTTTTTCAATTTGTTTAAACTATCATTCGTTCGAACTATCATTTCCTTGTCTCTTCTGTCTTTTAAATAATAAATTGTAAAATATTTATTACCTGTCCGTTTACTTCCTTGATAAGGTAGCTCAAGTACTATATATATAGACATACAAGTATTCTTTTGGGCTTCGTTGTATTAATGATTATATTGTCACTTGATATATTAATGATAAGTAGCATGTCCCTTAGTTTTTTCCCTCTTGTAAATATAAGTGTGTGACTTTTTTCTTTTTGCATAAGTATGTTTTCTTTCTTTGACTTGACTTGAAGCATTGCATGCTTTCATCCGATAAGCCGGCTGTGTTTAGTGTTTACTGGTTTCGCTGAGGTAATGAAATCTGCAAATGCTGACGCAGAGACAATACATGTAAGAAAAGGCATTTTCTATACAAAATTGCATGCATATGGATTAATGTGAATTATTTTTATTGTCGGTGTACTTTCTTAGAATTTCAATTAAGTATTTCTGCATGGTTGTTTAGGGAACCAAACGTTTATAATAAGAAATCTGAAATCAAACCAAATGGTCGCAGAAGCGCAGCCGTAGGATCCATTTCTATAGAGTGAGTTTCTAGAGCGGCTGATTTGTCTTTTTCAGTTTTCTCTACGTCTTTATCTATAGTTTGTTGTTGATTTTATTGCAATTATTCGTATTCACAAAAGGTATTTTCGTGATAAGCTGCCAATTCAATATTAACAAGTAAAGTGAATCATAATTCCTGATCTTTTTGTTTTTCCAATTTACCTAGGATCAAAGTTCGTGATGACTTCGTTTGGTTTCATGAATCTGTTTGGCCTCATTTGCCTGATATTTCCATGTCAAGGTTTGGAAAGGCGCCCAGCCTTTTTTATTTGTTGGATTGCGGAACGTGCATGGCCATGAGGTTGCTGGATTCAGAGTATAAGGGACATGCCCGAATTATATCATTTCTCGACCAGAATTTAAGTTGATACGTGAGATAATTCTCGATTCTCCTTTTTTTTACTCAGTACAATTCGCCTTTACATCATCATCATGAAATTTATATCATATATGAAATTGATAGTTACTTGAATTAAAATGATGTGATGAAATGATCGAAATTAGCATCGCTTTTATTTGTGTCTAAATTATTCTCCAAGAAATTGCTATTTAAACAATTCGCCTGTTAATAATTTTATAATATGGTATTAATTATGCATTCGTCGCCGCGTCCGAATTTCGAGCACTCATTCACAAAAATGATTTAATTCCATGATGTATATAGGAGTTATCTATCCACCATCCAGTGGAAACAGCTTGACATTCCCACCAGGATCAACTGGAAAAATAGAGTGGTCATTTGACGACAACATATCTGATGTGTTTTCACGATCTTGGAGTTTCACAAGTACAGACGGTTCCGTCAATAGAAAAGTGATTGCTACTGTAAGTGATGATGATGATCCTAAGATACGCGTCAGTTTTCCTGTGATTGAAGTTGAAAAACCAGCCACGTTGGTTTTAAACAACGTTGATCGTCGTTATGATGGAAAATACGAGTTTCATGTTTCAGCAAACGTCCAAACTTCTTCTGAAGTCACCGTCTTCATCGCAGGCAAGTTCTTTTTTTAAAATCATGTGCATTTTTAGTTAAACTAACTTTGTCCTATATGACTATAAATAAGAAAGGCATATAAAATTGGCACAGTACAACACTATAGTACGAGTCACAATACACCGTTTCTTAATCTTAAATTTGTATTCATTCTCAAATTGAATGACGTAATTAAAAGACCTGTTAGTCTGTTACATATGTAAATTGTGCTGCGATATACCATCACTAGCGAATGGCAAATTAATATCCGGCAAGTTAATTGTCTAATAATCACCGGCGTTACAATGGCTTGTACGCTATTTTGACCAGTCGATGGCATATAAAACAGGGTGACACGTAAAGTTACGTCACTATGTATAATCCTTTGAACATTTGTTTTAGAAGTCTTCAGTATAGCTACGGTACCAACAAAGATGATGTTAACGTACATACACTGTTTGCTAAAATTGATTTCAAGAAGTAGTTTTTGATAATTTGATTTCGAAAAGAAGTACTTCCGGTGATTGATGTGTATCAATAAATTTCAGAGAAACCAAATGTGACATTGAATTGTTCCAGTCCCGTTTCGCTATTAAAAGGTGATAACTTCACATGTCTGTGCAGAGGTGAAGGTGGAAACCCTCCTGCTAATGTTACATGGTTTAAAAATGGTGAAAAATTTACCGATGTTGGAACAGAAATGCAAACCCTAAATCTGTTGAATGTTAGTAGAGAAGATGATGGAACTTACATGTGTGAAGCCACAAGCTACCCTCATAAGAATTATACAGATAAAGAATCAATCCAAGTAACAGTTTACTGTAAGTATGCATATATACTTGAGAGGTACACAGATAGATCATATATAGATGCATGTTTGATAGATACATTTCAACATACTCTATTAAATATCAACATAGTCCATTACAGAGAAATTTAATGTTTTTAGACAGGATTCACCTTCCAAAGACAAAAACAAGTCTATGCATGGAGTCTCGCTTAGATAATGACATTTTAAAAATCTACCGCCCCAACCCCATATTTAACCTCAGGTCATACTTTCTTTTCAATTGTGGAATAAACCTTTTTTAACTCTTTGACTCGCGCTTGCACTATTTTTTTATCCTTGTGATAAAAAATAATTTCCGGTGAGAGCATAATGTAATAAAACTGCCAAGTTTGGGTGCGGAATGTTGTAAACTATATAGTCATGGTGCCTACTATTTACATGCATTATTTTATTCAATGTGACAAAAAATTACAAATTTACAAACTTTGCATGATTACTGATACTTTCAGCATTTTACAATATTTCGCAGCTAAACTCTGCTTAGTACTATATAATAATATAGTGTGCTCTTTCTTGCTGTGGTGGTGATTTATATTCTTTTTGTTACCTGTGTCAAAAATTACCCTTAAGTAATTACCCTTACCCAAATCGTCCTTAAGAGTCTCAGAATGTTTACCAAAAACCTTCTCTCGAGTCACACTGGTGGCCTGGGCCCCGGCTAGGCAATTAAACACCAAACTTCTTCCCTCTCCCCTCCCTCTGTATTTTTGTGTCAACTTCTCCTCACACTCTGCACTGCAAACACCTGCATTCTAGCGGAGATAATTTCTGAAACGCCAACACCCAAATATGCAATGAAACTGTATAAGAGTCAAATTAAACACCATGTTTATACCTAATAACCTTAAATTTTCGTCCCAACTTATACGCATACGGAAAATCATGATGAAAAAATAATTTTGATGCAGTATTCTTTGCTCTCAATTTACTGGCGCGCCAAACAAAATATAATCACGGTGACGTACGCACGGTATCGTTTCCTTTCAGCAAAACCAAATGTGTCGATAAATTGTTCTTCTCCAATCACCGTAAAAGAAGGCGATACAGTTACATGTAATTGTAAATGTAAAGATGGCATTCCTCCAGCGAATTGTATTTGGTATAAAAATAGCACCCGGATTAGTGGGATTGGAAAAGAAATGAAGACATTAAACCTCTCTGATGTTACTAAAGAAGACAGTGGAATTTACACATGTGTTGGCAAAAGTCACGTTATAGCACAGGATGAAAACTCAATCAAAGTAACAGTTTACTGTAAGTATATATTAATATGTCACAGATAAAATATTGTAAGGCCAGCCTGAAAGATATCAAAATTGTTTATGACATAAAATGATTCAAGTGTTTATATCTATTTAGATTGCGTTTAATTTTAGATATTCTAAATTGCTTGGTTTACTGCAGTATCTGAGATTTAATTTCAAAGCAAATATGTGGTCTTAAAAAGGTCCTGGCGGGCAAGCTAGGAATTTTAGTTTTTCATTTAATTTCAAAATATTTTATTTCGAGAAAAAAAATAAGTTTACGCATCTGCGTGGCGCACTTATTTTTCATAAAATTTTCTGAAATTCCCATATTTTGTAAACAAAAACCTAAACCATCATTTCATAAAATCAAAATTTATTTCTAACAAGTCATTTAACAAGTCAAGTCAAAATAAAGTTTTTACAAACTCCTCTCCCGTTTTCGAGGTTAAATTTACTGTTTGCATGTTTTTGCACAATGCGGTGTTTTAACAACTTTATAGTTTACTAAATATTTCAAAACTGTCTACTTTTTTCTGATATACCATGTATACATTAGTGGTACTATACGGTTTCGCAGGAACTAATATTTTTCCACGGCTCTGTTCCTGCATTCTCCTCGATCCCACTCGTTCTTCTAATAAGGTTTCGCCTCGTATTTTAATCGTTTCAAATTGATAGAGTGCTGATGTAACATTATACCACCAACTTCAATATAATTTATATACATGGTTATCACAACAGTTTCCAACTACTCTTCAAATTCACTTGACATGCCAGTATATTTATTCCGTTAAAGGTTGGTTCCTTGAACTTCCTTCTTCAGTATTATTATATGCAATAGAATTCGTACGTATAGCTGAAAACGTTACTTTTAATTAGCTTAGAATCTGGCATTCAAATTGAGACAAAAGCTTGATTTCAAGTGAAGGGGGTGGAGTACTTTTATAGGCCTGTAAGGAAAATTGATAAGCCTCGCGGCGTTTGTTTCAACAAGTACGCGGATGCAACTTACCCTGGGTCAATGTATAGTTTTCACTATAGCTATCTATACTATTCGTTTCATATTTATTCTATAGATAAACCTGTTGGTACAAGCATTAAGTTCTCATCGTTTCCAGCTGTGATTAATCAATTCTTAACCGTAACATGTGTATCGTGTGGGCTTCCTGATCCAACAATCACCATACTCCACAACGATACAAAAGTTGCAAGTGGCATGACGTATAACATATTTCGAGTGAACTGGACTCATGCAGGAAAGTACAAGTGCGTTGCAAATAATTATTTGGGAAACGAGTCTTTTTCCATATTCCTACGGGTCAATGGTAAGATTATATTTTTATATCATGTTGTTAGCGTATATTTAGGACTTATTGACTGATCCGAGGGAAACATATTGTTTTTTGGACCCGAGATCACTAATAGTGGTCATGAAATCTTATATATGATTTACTGACATTTTTTTAAAAAATGGGAGTGCTCACAATGCAACATGCTTACCTCAAATGCAGTAATAATTTTTTTATTATAACAGGAGGTTTTTTTATAACATTCAAACCTACGAATACAGTAATTAAATTCTCACAGAACCCAGAATAAGCCGTATAATTAACGGATCAGTCTCCTGGATCAAATTAATTGATCAGATTAATTAAAATAAAACGCGAGCGGAAGAACATTGATAAGCAATTTTACAGCTAGTGAAGGCTTAATCGTTTTAAATTTGATGAAGGCTGACAGACTAAATTTAAAATTTATATTTCGCAAGGAATCAAAATAGATTATATATTTGTTTGAAATTGTATGGCCTTGAAAGCCAAGATTTTACCTTCATTTCCACTGTGATTTTACCGGTCGAGATATTAACACAGCATGACATGCATGTATTGGTACATGCAGTTTATGCGTGCATAATGATTTTTTTACGATAACTCGAAACAAACGCATGTGCATAACTATTATAGTTTTAGGTACAACACGTATATAATTATAACTGCAAATGTTAATGAATGTTGCCAGAAAAAGTGAGCATGATTGCAAATATGAAAAAGTAAACAATGATAGTGCGTACATGGCTGTATACTTTGAGTAAGCCAGCATCTTCTTTTTTGGTGCGCTTGAAATTTTGATTCCACAATCATTATTCCTTCATTTTTTTAATGACGCTAACACATGGCAACAAAAACCAGAATCAAGCACGCAACAAATAAAATCATCAAAAGATCCATCAACAGTAACGAGTACCGCAAGTATGAAGACGAATTCTGCAGCAACCACTTCCTGTACTCCTCTCTGTACCACTACGTGTATACGTATATCGCATTCGAATCCTAGCTTAGCGCCAGACATAGAACATGCGCATTTCCAAATAATATTAGCGCCTCCAAACGATCGCAGGGCTCAAATGGCAATAATTTATGCGCGCCTAGATAACAACTATGTTAATGCTTTGAATTGCTTTGGTTTCGCTTTATGCTCGCACTTTCTTGAATTAAACTAACTAAATCAACAAAAGGAACAACCAAATCTAAAATTTTCGTGGTTGGCTGAAGCAACTTCATCATATTCATTTGCTTCTTTAAACACTCTCCGTGCAGGTTTAGCCGCATAGTAACATGAAGCTGAATGCATGCAATTAGACTTGAAATTATGAAATAGGCAAAAGTAAAACAGCCAAGCAATTTTAGTTCACAATCTTGAAGAGACACAAAACACGCGCCGTTTATGGCCCGTTATAGAAAACCTCCGTATTCGCCCGTCCACACGTAAACACGAAACCGGCGTTTTCGAAAAATCCTCGTTTTTGAAATCCTCCGTTTTCGGTTGTCGGTTACGTGTAGACGCAAGGCTAAAACGTATAAAAATATCCGGATATGTGTGGACGGGGCCTGATTCACACTACAGGTCGATTCCAGTGAAAGTGCAATTCTCTTCTTTTTGACAGATGCAAACGACTGAATAGTCCTGTGTATATACAATTCACTTAATTAACATTCCTTCATTTACTAAGCATCCGTAACATGTACATTCATTCGATTACATACATCCATGGAAATGAAAATCGCACGTTAAATAACCGTTAGGGGAAACATAGTGAAGGGTTCTTTCTTGGTTTAAATTTTAAAAGTCATTACCATGCAGTGTTTTACTACTGCTTGATGCTAGAAATGCATCTTGGGAAATGTGAATGCTGCCACCTCGCTAGGTTTCTATTATGCGAAATCCATTAATTCTTGTATATATGATTAGATAAATGTAGCTGGAATGTTATTCTATTATCGATCAGTATAATGTCGTGTGTAACAATTTTTAGAAAATAAACAAGAAGATTGCAATAGTGGAACTGAGTGGTACATCATTCTTGTGACTTTGATATCTGGAATTATCATCGGAATCATTCTTTCTTATGTTGTCTTTCGTGTTCGTCGTGAAAATAGAAAATCTAAACTATCAAATCCTGGGCCTCAAACACCTCGCCTTGATAAAACTTACCAAGAACTGGATCTTAAAAAAATGAACAAAGAAGACAATTACCAGTCACTGAGGGTAAATGCTGCGAGAAATGACGGTGTAAACGACGATGAGTCAAATTACACCGAGTTAAAAAAAGCAAGAGATGTCGAAAACAACTATCAATCTTTAACATGAACCTGAAGTAATTGACTTGACTTGACTTGACTTGCCTTGCTTATTTGAAGAGCAAGTGTAACCTGAAGGTGACACCCAGTCATTTGTCGACAACTCTTATAACATATCTGTCAATCACTGTTGATTGCACAAACTTATATAAATGTGCACATGCACGACACGAGCTATTCAAGAATCTGTATCATTTTCATACCTTGAGGAGCTTATACCCATCTTTGGTGTAACAATCATGACCAATGCATAGGAAAACAACAGCCTAGCCACGGTGTGGAAACTATATCACTGTTGTTAATTTTTCACTATTGCCTTTTGCGAGTGTAGGCAAAGTTGAACTACCTTCATTTTTTTAGATTAAACTATTTGTTCTAGATTAAACTATTTTGTCAGATGTTACGTTTTTAGCAAGATGCAAATATACCTGAGAGGTTCGTTCGTCTCATCTCCCACACAGAAATTTCCGTATATGCTTTAGCTTCTGACAGCGCGCTATCCCAAACGCAATTTATATAATTATTGTGGCGGACATGCACAATGTCATTCACAATCTACTGCATTTTGCAGAATCAATTTATCTTAGAGAGTTATATATAGAGTTACCGCGTTACGATTACTGTATTTATGGTTAGACCAGTCAATTCCGTTCCTGTTTTAAGGTAGCATTCTTCCAAAAAAGTTTGAAAATCAGCCTATTTTGCTGGTTTCATTGAGCAATCTGTCCAGCCAACAGCTCGGAATTGTGTCCTTAATTTGTAAAACCATCAAGGAATTTCAAAACACTTATCGAGGAATTTTTCAGTAGTGACCAAATATTTAGTTGATATGTTTGCCAACCAGGAAGTAAATTAAGAATCAAACTAATCAAACAAAATTTGAGCAATTCTAGAATCTGGACCAAGTAAATATGATTGTATAAGAGGTATGTTATTATTATATTCTGTATCTTAGTATTGCTTGGTATTGAACGAGTATTTGTGCGATATGCACGTAAAATGTATTGGTTGAAAACAACTTAAACACGGGCAAACATTGTCTTTCCTAGTTAAAGTCACCAGCTGATACCTGCCTGCAACTATAATTGCGAGTTAAATCTTAAGACCATTTGTAAAATAGATCGTTGTCAACAAAGTATCATCAACATGCACCACGCTTGAAGGACAAAAACCGTAACAAATATATAACTTTTTGAAAAGGGAACGCTGTAGAATTAATTGACTGGTATATACGGCGTGTTAAGTACGTTGCTTTCATATACAGACGATGTGATTGTATTATTATGCTGTTGTGGTGTATGAATAATTGCCTGCATCTATATTATAAGGTTTATTGTTTAGACTCGAGTGTGTTAAATAGGCTAATATTTCCCTAAAGCTGTTTTGGTCAGAAAGTTATAATTGGCGGAATATTTTTGAAAATACAACATAACTATGTTAGGCCTCAATATATATATATATAGAAGTTTGTTTAACCGATAACGAAACCTGATAACCCGATAACGAAACATAGCCAATCTCAATATAGCTAGCAATTAAAGTATTTGGGTGAAGTAATTTTTCTATATCAATAATTTTCTCAACATCTCCATGCCATGCAAATAATGCGAGAAACTTTTATCTATAGTATATGGCTATACTATATACATGCAGTATTCACGAATTCAGTCGATAAGGTTCTCGGTATATATATGCATGAGAAATCAAGTTATCTGTTTATATGCACTATATATACTAAATTATTGCCATGTAGAAAGCTGGAACCTGCATTAACACCGATTTTATCCGTGCTGAGCCAGCTGAGGCTACGAGCCCATGCAAGTAAAATCGGCGCAGGTCAGAAATTTTGTATTTTCGCAAGCGAGATACTTCCATATTAAAAAATAATAAAACGGTTAATGCAATTATCCACTATAGGATGAAGTTTTCGATCGAACGAAATGAAAAAATGTTAAATCAAAAGAAAATCCGGCAAAAATTTTCGTTCGAAACCGGGGTAATCTTCTGTCTCGCCATACCAACTTTTGAACATGGTGTGTTAAAGAGAATTAGGCGCAATTTGTTTAAACTATCATTTGTTCGAACTATCATTTCCTTGTCTCTTCTGTCTTTTAAATGATAAATTGTAAAATATTTATTACCCGTCCGTATACTACCTTGATAAGGTAGCCCAAGTGCTATAAGCCTTATTTTTGTGGCCTTATATTAAGTTTTTTTTTGCCTTGACTTGACTTGACTTGACTTGACTTGACCTCACTACGTCTCTCGTTTATATCGTCTACATCTATAGTTTGTTGTTGGTTTTATTACAATCATTCTTATTCACAAATGGTATTTTCGTGATAAGCTGCAAATTCAAGAATAATTAACAAATAAAGTGAATTATGCATAATTCGTGATCTTTTTGTTTTTCCAATTTACCTAGGATCAAATTTGCGATGATTTCGTTTGGTTTTATGAATCTGTTTGCCCTCATTTGCCTGATATTTCCATGTCAAGGTTTGGAAAGGCTTCCAGCTTTTTTTTATTTGTTGGATTGCAGAACACGCATGGTCATGATAATTTGTATAGAATATTGTACAATAAAATTCGACAGAATTATCTATAACTTCTCCAAATACCATATTTATATTTTTTATCCACGTACGTCTCTATCATATTTTGGAATATTTAACTCCTGCTGGAGGATTACAATAAGTACAATAAGTATTAAACCTATGAATAATGGAGCCTTGGCTTAGGGAGTATTCTGTCGTAATAAACAAGCCATGTCATATGTCAAGCCATATGTAATTTCTCGATCGGAATTTAAGTTGATACATGAGATAATTCTCCTTATTATTTTCTCAGTACAATTCGCTTTTTCACCATTATCATGAAATTTATATCATATATGAAATTGATAGTTACTTGAAAATGATGCAAGAATTAGCATCGAAATTAGCATCGCTTTTATTTTTGTCTAAATTATTCTCCAAGAAATTTCTATTTTAAACAATTCGCTTGTTAATAATGGTATTAATTATGGCTATATTTATATGCATGCATCCGTGGCCGTCTCCGACATTTCGAGCAATCATTCCCAAAAAAAGGTTTAATTCCGTGTTATTTAGGAGTTGTCTTTCCACCATCCCGTGCCAGTGGAAACAGCTTGACATTCCTACCAGGATCAACTGGGAAAATAGAGTGGTCATTTGACGACAACATATCTGATGTGTTTTCACGATCTTGGACTTTCACAAGTACAGACGGTTCATTCAAGGTCAAAACGATTGCTACTGTAAGTGATGATGATAATCCTAAGATACGCGTAAGTTTTCCTGTGATTGCAGTGGAAAAACCAGCCACGTTGGTTTTAAAGAACGTTGATCATCGTTATGATGGAAAATACATGTTCGCAGTCATAGCAAAGGTCCAAACTTCTTCTGAAGTCACCGTCTTCATCGCAGGCAAGTTCTTTTTTTAAAATCATGTGAATTTTTAGTTAAATTAAACTAACTTTGTCCTATGACTATAAATAAGGAAGGCATATAAAATTGGCACAGTACAACACTATAGTACGAGTCACAATACACCGTCTCTTACTTAAATTTGTATTCATTCGCAAATTGAATGACGTAATTAATTAAAAGGCCTGTTAGTCTGTTGCATATGTAAATTGTGCTGCGATATACCATCACTAGCCAATGGCAAATTAAACACCGGCGTTATAATGGCTTGTACGCTATTCTGACGAGTCGATGGCATATAAAACAGGGTGACACGTAAAGTTACGTCACTATTCTGTATAATCCTTTGAACATTTGTTTTAGAAGTCTTCAGTATAGCTACGGTACCAAGAAAGATGATGTTAACGTACATACACTCTTTGCTAAAATTGATTTCAAGAAGTAGTTTTTGATAATTTGATTTCAAAAAGAAGTACTTCCGGTGATTGATGTGTATCAATAAATTTCAGAGAAACCAAATGTGACATTGAATTGTTCCAGTCCCGTTTCGCTATTAAAAGGTGAAAACTTCACATGTCTGTGCAGAAATGAAGGTGGAAACCCTCCTGCTAATGTTACATGGTTTAAAAATGGTGAAAAATTTACCGATGTTGGAACAGAAATGCAAACCCTAAATCTGTTGAATGTTGGTAGAGAAGATAATGGAACTTACACGTGTGAAGCTACAAGCTACCCTCATAAGAATTATACAGATGAAGAATCCATCCAAGTAACAATTTATTGTAAGTATGTATATACTTGACAGGTACACAGATAGATCATAGATGCATGTTTGATAGATACATTTCAACATACTCTATTAAAATATCAACATACTCCATTACAGATAAAATTTACAAATTTACAAACTTTTCTTGCCTACTGATACTTTCAGCATTTTACAAAATTTCGCAACTAAACTCTGCATAGTATAGTACTAATTATATAGTGTGCTCTTTCTTGCTGTGGTGGTGATTTATATTCTTTGTGTTACCTGTGTCAAAAATTACCCTTAAAGATGATGTAAAGTCTGTTCTGCGCATTTATGCCGCACATAACAATGTTTGTTTACGTTTGTTATATAATCTTTACTTGACGTATGTGTCGTTTTAATTTTCTTATTTTCTTCTCGCTCGACCGGCTGTGATGAATATGTATTTTATATTATATTTTGAAGAAAATATTATTATATTTTGAAGAAGATATAAAGCGAAGATTGTAAATAAACCGTTACTTAAAACTTTATATATTTGTAATTGTAGGATAAGCGAGAAAGTAGCGTCTGTAGCGACGACAAATAGCCTCGCCAGTCGTGTCCTCATTCAGCAAATAAATTCTTAAAGCATTCCTTTCAGCATGATATTGCTTTTTTCTAGCAGCTTTATCTTCATCACTCGCAATTCGAGCCTCTTCGCCTTGCGACATAAAATAAAATAATTGTGCTCCCGAATTGTTCGTTTGTAATACAACGGGCTAATATAGCATATCATTAACATTCCAAAAGTTGCTCCCCCACTGATGGAATGTGTTGCTGCGCGGAATATATGC